ATTTATTGCGTCAGCCGAGGGGAGGGGCGCGCGGACCGGGTCCACGGGGGTGGGGCCCACGCGGCGGCCCCACGGCCCACGGTGGACCGGGCGCACCCGGGCTCACACCGGCCGGCACCGTGGGTCCCACGCGTCAGCCGCACCCGAGGGCGCGGGCGGCTGACAGCCGGGCCCCACGCGGCAGCCGCACGGTGCGCCCGAAGGCGGCCACGCCGGCGCAGCGGCGGGAGGCGGCGCGCCTGCACCCCTATGGTCGCCGGCGGCGGCCATAGGCACGGCGGAGCGGCGGCCGAGAGAGGGGGAGGGAAGGGGGAAAAGAAGCGGCGGTCCACGGCTCACCCTAGGTCGACGGCGACGACGGAAAGGCCGCCAGAGCGGAGGAAGGCGGCGGCGCGGCTCGGGTCGACGGGGACGGCGGCGTTCCGGCGGTCGGCGAGTGAAACAGAGGGGTGGACGAGGTCGCCGAGGATGCGGCGAAGCCGAAGGAGGCGGCGCCGAGGGGGAAGGTGGTCCGGGGCGACGACGGCGGCGGACCGGAGCTCGGCGGCGACGGCGGAGAGAGAGAGGGACGGCGCGAGCTCGATTCCGGCGGGGAGAGAGAGCGGCGAGTGGCGGAAACGGTGGAGGGAGGCACGGGGAGGGTTTATATAGGGTTGGGTGTGAGAGAGGGCGGCCGGAGGAGGGGGAAACGGGCGCGGGAGACCCGGCCGCCATTAGTGGCGCCGGCGAGGTTAGGGGAGGAGTTTCCAAACGAATCCGAGGGAGAGAGAGAGGGAAAAATGGGGGGAAAGGGGGAGGGGATCCCGGGGAATAATTCCCCCTATTGATTGCACGCGGGGCGGACGGGGGCGGCGGGATTCGCGGCGGCGGCGGCGCTAGGGCGCGGGCGGGGCGGCGGGAGCGGCGGGAGGAAGGGGATGACGGGTGGGCCCCACCCGTCAGCGAGGGAGGCGGGCAGGCCCGCCCGTCAGCGGCACGCGCGCGGGGAGGAGGCCGAATGGGCCGCGGGGGAGAGGAGAGAGAGGGAGAGAGATGGGCCGAGCCGGCCCAAGAGGGGGAGGGGGGAAAAGGACTTTTAGAGCTTTTCTTTTTATAAAATCATTTTAACTTTGTTTATTTCTTAATAATTATTATTTGTGCTCTGAAAATTCCACTAAAATTTGTTTACGCATTTTAGGCTTTTAGGAAATATACAAAAATCCTCCAAGCCTTATTTGACTTTTAACTTTGCACATTTTAATTGTTAGAGGCTTTCACACGGATTTTAATTATTCTAGGCATAATTTCGAAGATGTATTTTAGAGTCGTTTTGGGATGCGACAGGTTCAAACTCGAGTACGGAATTATCGCCAGTGACTCGGGCTGCCCGCGCTGCTGGACATCCTCGTCATCAGCATCTCTACAAAGGACAAAAGTTCCCGAGGTCAACATACAAAAGTAAACTAGAATGATAATTGCACGCACGAAGGCGGTCAGAATTCAAGTTTTACACAGCGTGTCTTGGAAGTACAAGAAGTCCTACTCTTTAAATAGGGGGAGAACAGACTCCCCCAGATCACCGACTTCTTCCATCACCTCCTTACGCGTGTCGCTGGCCACCCCCTAATCCAAGATCTCGCGCAGATCGAGTTCAGGACGCGACAGCTTTACACACGCGAGGACATGACACGCCTCGGTGTAGATCCCGTTCGACGTCTCCTCCGCGATCCTAGCTGCATGCTTGGAGGGGATCTCCCCCATCGCCGTCGCCAGTTCCACGAGGGAGGAGGTCAGCGAGAACTCGTCGGGATTCACCGGGATGGTAGACTTGATGCCGCACTCCCCGGCGAGCTGGTGCAGGCCAGTGTAGGTGACCCGCAACGAACCCTGGATTTCCGACAGGTTGTTCCCGAGTTCCGACATGCGGTCCTCGAGCCCCTTCCGTTGTCGCTCGTTGCCGGCCACCAATTCCCTTATCTTCATGAGGTCTTCACGGGCTTCAGCCAACTCGCGCACCAGCTGTTCAGCACGCGCGTTCGCCGGTGCTGCTTTCGACCTCGCCTCTGCAATCTCGCGGCCGATGCCGCGAGCACCAGCTTCGAGGAGGCAGCTAGTGGACCACGACCTGCCACGGGATCGCTGACTGGGCCGCAAGGCGTCGCCTCCCGGCTCCCGGCTGCGAGCGCGACATCCGTCGAGGCCGCGGTGGGCGACGCGCTGGAAGTCCCTCCGGACTTGGCTTGCGCAGCCTTTGCCCGTGCCTCCCTACGGGACGACCACGGGTCAGACAACGCTTGAATAGAATCACGGAAACCTAAAAATTCATCTACTTACTTCTCGCCAACCGTCACAAGACGTTGTCGTCGTGGAGGCGGGGGAGACGCGTCCGAGGCCTGAAAGACAATCAATGCGAAGTAAGGCAAAATCCTTCTGGCTGCACGATCTGATGACAAGATAACTTACCGAGGGGGTCGACGCCTTGCGACGATGTCCGCTTACAGAGGAGAATTTCCTCCCCTTCGTCGGAACATTGCCACCGCTAGTTGTGGCAGCAGCAGCATCAGACGCCTCATTGGCGACCTTCTCTTTTAGAGACGCCGCCACCTGATGGTCCGCGAGCGGCCCGATGATGTCAGTCAGAGGAAGAGCCTACGCTTAATCAAATCATAAGGTGATCTCAAAAGGGAAATGCGGGATGCCTATCGAGTACACTTATGTTGATAGCGTCATCACGTTCGGCCGCCCCCTTTTCACAAAGGGGCACGGGGATGTCGCTCGCCGTTGTCGGACCACTGATCATCACCTGGCCGACGCGGCGCTCCACGGCTTCGCTATTTAGACCTGTGAATCGAGAACCAAATTTCGATAAATCAGGAGGAACGCGAACATAAGCATGTCAGGATAAATGCGAGAAAGATACCCCGAGGAGAAACCCGGGTCGCGTCCTCCGGTCCGGAATAGTTAAAGGCTGGATGGGCCCGAGCCTGGAGCGGCTGGATCCGCCTACCGACGAAGTCTGCAACGACTTCATACCCCAACAAGCCCTGTACTCGGAGATCGTCGATGATGTCGATAAACGACCGAAGAGAGGGGGTCAAGGGGGGCTTTGCGGTCCAAGACGAAATCTTGTCAGGTTGTTCTTTGGGAACAACGAAGACGGGGTCCGAATCTTTGATCTCAAGATAGAACCACCTATTCCGCCATTTGCTGCGAGAAGAAGGGCACTGGAAGGGGATATAACGCGACTTCAGGCCATCCCGAAGTCGGAACCCGACGCAACCAGATACCCTGTTGGACTCCATCCAACGCAGCTCGTAGTAGAAGCGAAAGAGATCAAGAAAAGGCTCTACACCAATGTAGGCCTCGCAAAGATGAGCAAAGATACTAAGAAAGGCGATAGAATTGGGGTTTCAAATGAAGAAGAGAAAGACCATAGAAGTTCAAAACTAGGAGAAGAAATTCGGAAGGCGGAGGGAGAAAACCGCAGAGAATATAGTCTTCGATCGCAACCATGCGACCTAAGACGGGCTGGGGATTAGTACCTCCTGCTTCCCTCTCCATGGTTCCACGACCGGGAAGGGCGCCGTCTTCCAGAAGCTTCTTCAGCAACGCACTGGTGGAAGATGATTTGCCGAGGTCCATCGCTGATCGAAGATCGCCGAAGAAAGGGCCTAGGTTGATGAACTAGGGTTTCTTGTGGCGGCGAAGAAGGCGAAGAGCGCTTACAGGCGGAATGTTTTCTGCACGGTGGGCGGACTTCAAAATGGATCCCCAAAATTCCTTTAAATAGGCGCACTACCGACGGTGCGAATTCCAAGGAACAGAGAGAGATGCCCGGCGGAAATTTCTGGGTCCGTTACGCGCAGCGGTTTTTTGGACTTCAGTTTAAAATTCGCTCGTGACCGTTGGGCTTCAAATGGCGTGCTCGACTACGGCCTGTCTCCGCGGTCCTCGCACCGGGAACGACAACAGTCTCGACACCCGAAGTCGCGAATGGTTACACGAGCTCATTTTAAGCAGAAGTCGGGGGCTACTGTCAGGGTTACGGGTTAGGCATACCCTTTACCCTTCGATATACGTTACATATCGGTATGGTATTCCCACGCGCATACGGATACTTCCTGCGTACTCTAAGGAAATCCTTCACATAATCTATGGATGGGAAGAATCCTACTCGGACAAGATTGGGTCGTTAATGTATCGTACAGGGTCTGATATCTCCGAGTTCTACTTGGAAACCTCCAGATCTGCGATATAAAAGGGACCCCCGGGAAGGGCCTAAGGCATCGAATCTCAGAGCCAACACAACCCACATGGCCTACGAAGCCGGAGCCTGCAAGGAGCCAAGTCATCGGGATCTAGTCGAACCAACTCGACTACGATCTCGCCGGATCCGACAAGTTCCATTGTTCCCTTTGTAACATGTGGTTTCCACCATATAATCCCATATCAACTGGATTAGGGCTATTACCTGTCAAGGGGCCTGAACCAGTACAATCCTCATCTTTTGTTTGCTTGATGTCGTATTATGTAGATTCTTGTACCAACGTACCCCAATACCCTCTATGGTCTACGGGTATTACCCGTCGACAATATTAGGTCCCTTGCCCTCCACAACCAATGCGAGACTATTCAACAATCTCCCCATTCACACATCGGTGTGTCCCTCAGCCGTTTACTGTCCCTTTACCATTTTCCCACGATCCCTATACGGGTCCCACAGGCACACACGGTTCATCAGGCATTCACACACTTTGTCCCTCGAGTTAGAGATGTTGAACTAGCCAGGCTCTAATATCAGTTGTAAGAACGTAAATGGTCTTTTTCATTCCAAAAGCTAGCCAATAAGGTGAGAGGGTCCCCACTTATATATTAGGTCCCTTACACTTCCACAACTAATACGGGACTATTCAACAATTTCGTATATGAGGCTTGATTCCGTGTAAAACTTGATATATGGTGGATTCCATTAAATATAACACAAAAGTATTATATATATCTTATCTAGATATATCTAACGCTGAAGAAATTTTACGGTACTTCAGAAAGTACCTGGAGGTATCAAGATTTTACATTAAAAATTTTGGTACCCCGAGGAACCAAATTTTACATTAGAAAGTGGATACATCCCGGTACTTTTTTTAAGATTGGTAAAATTACCCATAACAATGACACTAATCTTCATGGAAATACAAGCATTTTTGCACGAGCAATTTGACGGTTCTTGAGGAGGTACCATGAGATACTATTTTTTCTATTATAAATTTGGTACCTCTTGATACCTAGGTACTATGAGGTATCATGAGGTACCAAATTTTACACTAAAATTTTGGTACCTCATAATACATCCTTAAGGACCGTAGAATTGCTCTTTTTGCACATGTTTATTTGCCCACCTGAAGTTGACGGCGGGTTGCCACAACGCCACACAAAAGTTCCAGAAGATCAAATCCGAAAGATGTAGGAATGGAGACTCGTGGAGAAGACGAACCAGTGCGGGAAGTAGAAGGCCAACACGAATCCAACCACGAAACCGACAGCTGCTCCGATACTAGTCTCGTCGTTGACTCTGCGCAACCTGCAGTTACCCAACGGTGCACCACAAAGCCTTCGGTTGCCAGCAAAGATTGAAGCTGTAAAATTCTCGAAACAAGATGGAACAAGCCCTGAAAACAAATTTTCTGCAACACTGAACGAAACCGAGTGAGCGAGAGAACAGAATTGCCATGGAATTTCACCATTGAGTTTGTTGTGCCGAAGGTTCAGTGTTTTCAATTTCAGGTATGCCATGTCTGTGATGCTCACTGGAATTGGACCTGAAAAGCTGTTGTACGAGAGATCCAGGGAACTTAATTGTGGAACCAACAATGAGATATTAGAAGGGATGGGTCCTGAGAAATCATTATTTGACAGGTTTAGAAATTCCAGTTTTGTCATTTCTGTGATATTGGTTGGGATTTGACCTGAAAAGCTGTTGTGCGAGAGGTCCAGATATCTCAAATAGGGAAGCCGCCATGAGATGTCGGAAGGGATGGGTCCTGAAAAACTGTTACCTGACAAATTCAAGTCTTCTATCATACTGCAGCCCTGAAGACCTTCAGGAAATTGGCCTTGAAGTCCCAGACTGACGAGATGTAAAGAACGAACCGTGCTATCACTGGGATTCCAGCAGTTTACTCCAGTAAAGCTGCATATGAAACCGTTGAATCCATTGCCAGAAAAATTCCAAGTGGATTCGAGTTCACCACGGGGATCAACCAGTGATTTCTGCAGAGTCCTTAGGCATTCGGTGTCATCAGAAGCTACGAACAACATTAAGCTGCTTAGCAGCAGCAGACTAAGGACGAACTTGATATCATCAGACATCACAGGCGTGTTATAAAACGATCGGCCAAAAAACAGCTTCTTGCTCCCAATGTCACTTGATCAAAACTCATTAAGAATACTCAGAAGACAGAACCTGTAGAAAGAAGAAACGATATGATCGGGCATGAAAGACACTACAAAGCTTACTACAGAAAGCAAAGAAGCTAAACATACTTCAGAGAAAACAAGGTTGTTACGAACCCAAGAGATCGGGAGAGAAGGCTGGAGAGAAGGAACGAGAAGAAGAAGGAAGAACTCTGAAGCAGAGGAGATTATCTTGGGGAGGAAGAAGGTGTATTAGATTCAGGGAGATAATTTGGTCATTACAATTTTCATACCCTTCACCTTACCCCTTAGGTGCTTATATAGCCGCACCTGTGACAGCTGGAACTCCCACCCATTCGGGTCCAGCAATTCTCGCGAGACACACGTGGTTTCAGTCTGACGGGGTTGTCTGTTCCCGTATGATGAACAGTGTCCCGGGAGTTGAACATAAGAACATAAGAATGTGCAATCCTCCTGTCAGAGTTGAACATAAGAAGAAGCTTACCCAACATTTCAGTTTATGCCGATGATGCAGTACTGTTTTTTCGGCCAACCTCCCAGGAAGCTCTTGTGATAAAATCAGTGCTGGAAATATTTGGGGATACAACTGGGCTGAAAACAAACTTGGCCAAGGCCTTGTTTAGATTCAAATTTTTTTCCTTCAAACTTTTAACTTTTCCGTCACATCAAATGTTTGGACATATGCATGGAGCATTAAATGTGGACGAAAAAAAATAATTGTACAGTTTGCATGTAAATCGCGAGACGAATCTTTTGAGTCTAATTTACGTCACATCGAATTTTTGTACGTATGCATGGAGTATTAAATATAGATAAAAACAAAACTAATTGCACAGTTTGCATGGAAATTGCGAGACGAATCTTTTGAGCCTAATTACGTCACATCGAATTTTTGGATGCATGCATGGAGTATTAAATATAGATAAAAACAAAAACTTATTGCACAGTTTGCATGGAAATTGCAAAACGAATCTTTTGGGCCTAATTAGTCCATGATTAGCCATAAGTGCTACAATAACCCACATGTGCTAATGACGGCTCAATTAGGCTCAAAACATTTGTCTCGCGGTTTCCAAGTAAGTTATGAAATTAGTTGTTTCATTCGTGTCCAAAAAACCCTTCCGACATCCGGTCAAACATCCGATGTGGCACCCAAAAATTTTCTTTTCGCAAACTAAATAGGGCCTAAGGCTGTGTTTAGTTCCCTTTAAACTTCCAACTTTTCCGTCACATCAAATGTTTGGACATATGCATGGAGCAATAAATGTGGACGAAAAAAACCAATTGCACAGTTTGCATGTAAATTGTGAGACGAATATTTTGAGCCTAATTACGCCATGATTTGACAATGTGGTGCTACAGTAAATATTTGCTAATGACGGATTAATTAGGCTTAATAGATTCGTCTCGCAGTTTACAGACGTAGTCTGTAATTTGTTTTGTTATTAGTCTATGTTTAATACTTCAAATGTGTGTCCGTATACTTAAAATTTTTTTGGCACATGAACTAAATACAGCCCAAATGTGCAATTACACCAATTCAATGTAGTGAGCAGCAACTTGCAGTAGTAATAACTGACATTCTTCAATGTAAGGTCGAGCAATTCCCGACAGTGTACTTGGGGCTGCCGCTATCCATGAGAAAGCCAACAAAAGTTGAGATCCAACCAGTTTTGGACAAGATGGCAAAGAAAGTTGCTGGGTGGGAGCCAAGGATGCTATCACATGATAGCAGCCTATTAGCCAGTTATAAATATATTTTAATGAGATAAAAGATGAGATAGAAGAGCAGCGAACTACAAGACACAATATGTATATAACAGATGAGACCATATATTAATAGTATAGTAATCAATTATTATATGAATTGGCTATTAGATTAGCTATATATGAATTGGAGCTAGTAGTAGACTATACTATTAAACTTGCTCTTATGCCTGATCAAGTCAACAGTGACGGCTCTTCCTGTACGCCTCATGTCCGTTCTTCAGCTGCCCAAGTGGGCGATCAAAGACATTGAACGCAAGTGTAGAGGGTTTTTATGGAAAGGGCAAGAAGTGGTGAGCGGAGGGCATTGCCTAGTTGCCTGGAAGAATGTGTGTGTGCCAATTGAAAATGGAGGGTTGGGGATCAAAAACTGAATTACTTAATTACTTTGGTCAAGCATTGCGGTTGAAGTGGCACGTTAACAAACTACAGCACAAGAACAGACCCTGGACAATGGTTGACTATCAGCTAGGACGTGAGGTGGATAAAATTTTCCAATCCATAGCAGAATTTGTCGTTGGAAATGGCAAGAAGCCAAGAATGCAAAGTTCTGATCTGCGAACTGGCTTGGGGGGGCAGCATTGCCTGGAGATGGCCCATTCTCTCGACCTATGTGGGCAGATCACAACTGACGGTGGCTCAAGCGCTAACGAACAAAACAACAGATGGGTTAGAGACCTTCGTGGATCCCTATCGAATGAAGCTTTGGCACAGTACTTCGAGCTATGGAGTAAATTGCAGATGATACACCTTAGTCAGGAAGATGACACCATTAGATGCAAGCTGACGCCGGACGGTCAATTTTCAAGCTCATCTGCATACGATCTGTTCTTCAAATCAATGGAGCTCTGCACTGTTGGAGAACTGATATGGCACACAAAAGCGCCAGCCAAGATTCGCTTTTTCATGTGGCTCGCTGCGAAGGGGCGCTGCCTGACAGCAGATAACCTGCAAAAGAGAGGATGGCCACACTCTGATTGCTGCAATCTGTGCTCGCGGAAACCTGAAGACTGCACACATCTGTTCACCAAATGCGATTACACAGTGAGGGTATGTAGGATGATGCGCAGTTGGATCAGTGTCTCATTCCCCGTCCCAGGATTGGATGATCTCAGCCTCACAGCTTGGTGGATGCAGGCTAGACGATGTTTTCGGGAATGCTACAGAGGCAATTTCGACAGGGGATGCTAATGTGAGCGATCACCCGCACCCCCCCCCCTCCCCCTATACGTCCTCTTCTCCCCTTTTCTCCTCCCCTTCTTCTCTTTCCTGCTACAGTAAACCACAAACAAATTTAAAAAAACAAAAATTAGAAAAATTTATGTAAAGAAATATTATATATAAAAATTTTGAATTCAAATTCAAATTTGAATCGGGTATGTAAACTTTTAACTTATAAACTTTGGATCTATAAACTTTAGGTGTATAAACTTTAGATGTATAGAAATCCTATATATAGAAAATATTTGAATTCAAATTCAAATTTAAATCAGATATAATTCAAGTTCAATTTTGAAACGGGTATATAAACTTTTGACTTATAAACTTTAGGTCTATAAAATTTAGATCTATAAACTTTAGGTCTATAATCTTTAGATGTATAGAAATACTATATATAAAAAATATTTGAATTCAAATTTAAATTTGAATCGAATATATAAACTTTTGACTTATAAACTTTTGGTATCTAAACTTTAGATGTGTAAACTTGAGGTGTATAAACTTTAGGTGCATAAATTTACTAAAATAAGAAAGTAATAAGGTGCCAAAAAAAACCAGGTGGAGGGGGGCTGGGCGAACTGATCGCTACCAGATCGCCCAGGCGATCGATCGCGCATCAGCTTTTCTGTTTCGACAGCGTCAGCATGTTAGTTTGCTGGATGGTATGGAAAGAGCGGAATGCCCACATTTTCGAACAACGTTTCAAAAGTCCTGACCAGTTGATCGAAGCCATTAAGGAGATAATGCAGTGGAAGGAAACAGGATACTTTGAGACAAATAGCAACTAGCCCATTTTTGAGGCCTAGCCTTCACCCTAATTCAACAGCTTCCTTTGTTGTAAGCAAACCCTTTGTATTTGTTTTTTCTTCCCTCAAGTCAAATCTTAATGAAATTTGGTCGCCGGTTCTTTCAGCCAGGTATTTGTTTTTTCTTCCCTCAAGTTAAATCTTAATGAAATTTGGTCGCCGGTTCCTTCGGCCGACCCAGCAAAAACAGTGTCCGTAACTAAGGTGCTTCAGAAAACTCACCCACTGGCCATTGATCTAGACCAAAGCAGAAATCGCCATCTTGCCTCTGCAAGAGATGAACGGGCACACACGATGTTAAAAAGGGAGATCCTCCTTTCGAGCATAGTATATACTCCCAGCGTTCCATTTTTTTTATTTTAAGGATATGTTCTAAAGTGAGGGCAACTTTCCTAGCACACATTTTAAATCACTAAACAGTACGTTTCGTGAAAAATATTTCTGTACAAAAGTTGTTTTAAGAAATCAATAAATTCATTTTAAAATTTTTAATAACAGAAACACAATTAAACATACGTGGATTATATTTCTCGTTTTGTGTGCAACTAAGTAATCCGTTTTCAATCTCTATTTAGAACGTGGCCTAAGTCAAACTTCTCTTAGACCGAGTTTATAAAAAAATAGACATCATCTATGATATCAAATATATACACTATGAAGACATATTTCCTCTTGGATTTAATCAACCGATTTAGTGTTGTAAATATGGGTGTATTTCTTTTATAAATTTAGTCAAAATATTGAAGTTTGATTTAGCACAAAACTAAAATAACTTACTATATGAAATAACGGAGTACCATTTTTCTTGACTGTACTCGATCATATGACGATGCTACAGTAGTCACATGGAACATAAAAGGTACAAACCGTGTTAGTGATTTCAGGACTCTTGTGGCTGACGTGTGCTGAAGACTTTTCACGAGGAGAGAAAAACTAAGTTCTTTTGAGCAGCTCCAAATGAAAATTTCCTTTTTTTTTTCATTACCACACCTCTCAAATCACTGTTTAGTGTATTTAGAAAAAAAAAAGCTACCTCCATGGCAAAATGTTACCACCTAATATTGGATGGAAGATATTCTATTATCACAGGGTGTCCAGCTATCCAAATTCGTGGTAGTAGGATATATTTCATCCAATGCTAGATAGTAATATTTTAGAATGAAGGCAGTATATAATATAGAAAAGTATTTTTAGAAAAATCAAACAAATCCAATTTTTAAATTTATCATGGTTTACACTTAATTAATCATGCTAAAGCCATTTTCAATGGGAGATGTCATTTTTATGTTTTCAAGGGTGCCACGTAAACAACAAGGTATTTAATTGATGATTGAAATAACCCATACAATGCACGATTTTATTTTCGTTATTTCATAGTAACATATACTCCCTCCGTTTCAAAATGTTTGACACCGTTGACTTTTTAGCACGTGTTTGACCATTCGTCTTATTTAAAAAATTTTGTGAAATATGTAAAACTATATGTGTACATGAAAGTATATTTAACAATGAATCAAATGATATGAAAAGAATAAATAATTACTTAAATTTTTTGAATAAGACGAATGGTCAAACACGTGCTAAAAAGTCAACGGTGTCAAATATTTTGAAACGGAGGGAGTAGGAAATTGCTTCCCATCTGCCGTCCAGGCAAAAGAGAAAAATCAAACACGCTTCATACAAGCCTGTGCTTCCAAGTGTGCATGGGGTGTGGGACCCATGGAAGGGTCAATCAGAATGAGGGACGTATCGGCGTCTGTCTTCAAAATTCAAATGTTTTTTTCTCCTAAACTACTTATCCGATCTAAAATCCGATTACACCATTGTATTTGTTGGAATTAAATAGTTATAACAAGATATCACATGATTATATTCCGATTAAAGAAAAATATAAGTTTCAAACTATTAATACTATTAATACTTCATGTTTCATACGTTATATTCATATGTTTCAGCGAATGTTTTTACTATGTTTCATAAGATTCTCAAAAATAATTGTCACTACCCTCCATCGGATTTAGATTGGGTGATAGGTATAACACCCTTAAAAAAAAGAAAAGAATAGCTAGCAGCAGCAGGCCATGGGCCTTGGCCCACGCATGCATGCGGCCCAGCAGCGCTACAGTACTGCGTGGTACTGTAGCTAGCCTTAGTCCCACCTCGTTAGTTTGGAGAGGTGGAGAGCAGCTTATAAGGATGAGCTGTCCGAGATTATTAACTCTGATTCTAGAATTTTTGCGTTAAAGCGAGGACGAGAACGAAAAACACTGTAAGACACTTTAACGCAAAAATTCCAGAATCGGATCCTTATCCTTATAAGCTGCTCTCCACCTCTCCAAACTAACGAGGTGGGACTAAGGCTAGCTACGCTGCTGCTGGGCCGCATGCGTGGGCCAAGGCCCATGGCCTGCTGCTGCTAGCTTTTCTTTTTTTTTAAGGGTGTTACAGTTAGGCATGTTATAAGTTGACATAGGGTGAATCTCGGCCCTCCAAAACAAATTCAACGGCTGAGATTTGTCCACGTCATCACGAGTTAAAATTTAACTCGCAGATGTACTCAGAAGTAAAAATTTTGCTGGGAGTAAAATTTTAGGAGTACTGTAAGTTAAATTTTAACTCGTGATGACGTGGACGAGTCTCAGCCGTTGGATTTGTTTTTGAGGGTCGAGATTCACCCTATGTCACCTCGTGACATGCCTACCCTATGTCACCCAATCTGAATCCCCCTCCATCAGCTTGCATGCAAGCATTTTAGCGGTCTTTAAAATGATTTTTCTTCTAAAATACATATCCAATCTATAATTCGATCACATTGTTGTATTCGTTGTAATTAAATCTTTACAACAAGATATTACACGATTATATTTTGATGAAAGAAAAATATATGTTTCAATCTATTAACTCTCGTTGTTTCATAAGTGATAGCAACATGTTTTAACGTGTATCTTCACTATGTTTTATAAAATTTTTAAATGTTTCAGTTGCAGTTTTTTTATTTCACCATATATAAATTAATGTTTCACTTGTTGGTTAGCTACAACATTTTAACCGACCAATGTTTTTTAAAATATCGGACGTCTGATTGGTAGTATTCTCCTAATATATATGCAAGAGACAAACTATATTGGAAACGGTGTAGATCTTTTCTTACCACATCATAAAAAATGTTAACATAACACCCTATTTAATGAAAATGAAACTCTCGTTTTCCAAGCCACCAAACAGCCGCAGCCAAACATCCGTGCTGAACTAGCCCTAAACCAGAGCATTCCCCTCATCTCATCACATCAACAATTTATTAAAAAAAAAACTATAGTTTTCACTTGATATCGGGAAGTAGGCTGAACATTTTTCCCATGTGAACACGGAAACACCGGCCCTTGCTAAGCCTGGTTATACATATTGCTGCAATACTGCTTAAGGGGAAAAAGATACTAATTCCTCCGTTTCACAATATAAGTCATTCTAACATTTACCATATTTATATTGATGCTAATGAATCTAGACATATATTTCTATTTAGATTTATTAGCATCAATATGAATGTGAAAAATGTTAAAATGACTTATATTGTGAAACGGAGGGAGTACTGACTGCTTTTGGAGTGCTCATTTGGCCTCCAGAAATCTCATTTGGTTTCAGAACAAATACATCTCATGTGTGTGATAGACGTAGGGCCGGCGCGTCCCGTAGAAAGAAGAGGCAGTGAGAGATGTACAAGGCTCCCACAAAACCCACGACGAACCCGACGGCCGCTCCGATTATTCCGATACTGTAGTCACCGTAGCTTGTGCTGCAACTATCAAACGGTACACCGCAGAGACCTTGGTTCCCAGAAAAGCATGAAGTCGAAAACTTTGATAAAGCAACTGGAATAGGGCCAGACAGTAAATTGTCTGAAACATTGAACGACTCTAACCGAGAAAGCAGAGCGAATTTCCCTGGAATTGAACCGGTCAGCTTGTTGTGCTGAAGGCCGATACTATATAGATATGTCATCTCACTGATATTAACAGGTATTTCGCCTGAAAAACGATTGTAGGAGAGGTTCAGAGATGACAAATCCGGCAGCTGCCATGAGATGCCAGAAGGGATGGGCCCTGAAAGACTGTTATTTGACAAGTCCAGTCTAACCAGAGATGTACAATGCTCAAGACCTCGAGGAAATTGGCCTTGCAGTCCTAGACTGCCGAGAGACAAACCTAGAATCCTGTTTTCGTCAGGGTTCCAGCATATCACGCCCATAAAATTGCATATGGAATTTGTGGTTCCATCCTGAGAAAATTTCCATGACGATCTGAGTATTCCACTAGGATCGATCAGCGATCGCTTTACACTCTTCAGGCATTGGATATCAAGTTCAGAACCAAAACACAACGATGAACTGCTCAGGAGCAGCAACCAGAAGAGAAGCCCGGTGTCAAAAGACATTACAGACACGGACTAGAAATGAACTATTTCCACCGATAAAAGTTGCACCTCCTAGAAATGAGCTATTTCTAGAAATGAACTAGAAATTATATTTTGCTGTTTTCACTCACCCAATATGCTCCGTTGTGTATAATAGAATCAAACTTGAAATAGAAGAAGGTGTTTCAGAAAACTCACCGATCGATCAAAAAAAGCAGAAACCTCCGCCTGCAATAGATGAACTCACACTGTCACACAGCTCTTGTAAGGGAGAATCCTTCCACTTGGACTCTGGAGTATAACCTTTTTCTTGGGTTTAACACGGCAGAAAGACTGACCGTGTCCAAGTCTTCAGTCGGAGCAGTCTCCATACTAGCAAGACTAACTGAAGGGAATGCCTAGTCATGTCATTACACATCATCAATTAATTCAAGTGAATTTGCTAGGAAAGGGTGTGATTAGTTCACGCCAAAATTGAAAGTTTGATTGAAATTAGAACGATGTGACAGAAAAGTTAGAAGTTTGTGTGTGTAGGAAAGTTTTGATGTGACGGAAAAGTTGGAAGTTTGAAGAAAAAGTTAGGAACTAAAAGTTGCAAGTTTGGGTGGGCAGCTAAAATTTACTCCTAAACCTAACTCACTCCTGTGTAGGGCTGTAGGCAGTCTTGTTGATTTAGAACAAAATCATGACCTGGTAAATGGTAATTAGTCCCTCTGTTTCAGGTTATAAGACTTTCTAGGATGTCCACATTTATATAGATGTTAATGAATCTAGATACACATATGTCTAGATTCATTAAGATATATATAAATATGGACAATGCTAGAAAGTTTTATAATAATATGAAACGGAGGAAGTAATACTTTTACTGGTATTGAGTGAGCGAATTGAACCTTTTTCCCAGGTATAATTTGAACATGTTAAGACAAACATCTATTTTTTTTGAACGAAAGACAAACATCTATTACTTATCACCTCAATTCATGAGAGGTTTCTGATACTCATCAGAATGTACACTGACTTAACTCATGTGACACACACACAACCTGCTTGCCAACATTTTTTCCACTGAATAAACCAACAAATGCAGCAGGTGCATTCTCCAACCCTATGCTCATGTCTTCTACATACACAATCTTGCCATCTCTGTAATGCTTGACCTGAGTAGTACCCCAAGATCCTAAGTTCAAATCTTCTATGGAGCGAATTTCAGATTGGGTTGTTTGCGGGGCTAAGTTACCTATTTCAATGGCTGTATATGGTTGGATGTAGAGGCCGGGTAAAAAATACTCTTCTCTAAAAAAAAATGTCACTGACAAACTGTGGGAACATATGGAGGTGGTCGCTCTGGATGAAGCCTTGCATTCGTATCCTCTTCCGGTACAAGGCAGTAGATGTTGTGGATACCTACAGGATCAGTCAGCGCATTCTGGGAGACCATCCCGCATACTGCAATGCGACCATGGGTCCTCATGTTGAGGAGTACAACATCAAGCATTGGTCCACCTACGTTCTCAAAGTAGATGTCAATACCTTCAGGGAAGTACCTATACAGGGACAAATCACAAACAGGCTCACATCATTACAATGTCATTATGAATCGTTTAGTGAGTTCAGAGGGTTGATTTTCAAACAATAACATGTAAGTATATGTTTCCATGTTTTCTCGCTCACAAATTTAGCTAACAGGAGCAATGCTCCTCGTTGTTTGGTAGGTTTGTCATATTACAATATTTTATTGTAAATTGTAGATGATCCTTATAATCTAGCTTAATCCACCAATTGTTCACTGAAACTAAATTAAGCTAGTGCCTTTTAACTGAAACACAAGGCCTGACCTTCTCAAGGCTGCAGTCAATTCAGGCCGGTGCCGGTTGTTTTTTTCGGGAATGCCATTCGGCTAGCTTTATTGATCATTAAACATAGTTACATCGTTTGTCAAAATGCTTATAATGCCAGGAGGTTCATCGACCCAAGTATAAAACTCTTTCCTACTAAAAGCTACCCTGGCTAATTCATGAGCAATTTTATTTGCTTCTCTATTACAATGTTCAACTTTGTATGCCACTATGCCGGTGTCGGTTGGTTGGTTGCAACGGCGTGGGATATTGGTAGGCTGGTAGCTACTCCGTAGATTTGACGGTTGCGCGGGGATCCACGTGGGAAGACCGCGGCGGCGTGTGAGTTCGATGGAGCGAGGACTCTGCGGCACATGCACACGGGAGATCCCCCGTGTCGTACCAGCACACGAGGGATTCATTTGGGCATCTCACCGTGCCGGCGCCGCGTGATTCCGTGGCATACTGCCATGGATGGCTGCTTTGCATGGAAGTTGATTGGAGTCGTGGAGAGGCGGCCGGCCATCCGCTCAGCATGAGCCGGGAGAGCGTAAGACGCTTGGCGGAGAAGCGGAAGAACGCCGTGCCGTTCCGCATCTCGCGTTGGCTGCTCGCGCGGCCCGGGGGGTGTTTTGGGCCGAACGGTGCAGGGAAATGGAATAAGTTCACTTGAGGTCATTAATTTGTCGTTTAGTTTGAAACTCATCCCTGAACTTATAAAGTAGTAACTTTGGCCCAAAAAAAAAATAAAGCCCATTGAGTTAGGGAGAGGTGCAGCCACGCGCCGCCTCCCAGCTCCCGTCTCCGCCTCGGCGCCACCTGACTCAGCCTCCCCTCCCCGGCACCCCCACTCCTGTTGGCTGTCGCCCAGCGCCGGCGCCGGTGGGTGGCGAGTCGGCGACCGCCCCCCTGGAAAGGGAAGACAGGGAGGCGTCGAGGCGAGCCGGGTCCCCTAGGCAGCTCGGCTCCTCCCCATTCGCCACCTCTCCCTCTTCTTGACGACCGTCGACCGAGACCCACGAGCTCCCTCTCCAGCTCTCCTGCTGCCCGGAAAAGTGCAAAGGTCCGTAGTCATTTCTTGTTGGCTTGTTGCCCTATGTAGTAGTGAGTGAGTAGTCAGTAGTAGAGCTGGTGGAAATTTGTTGTTTATCTCTTTAATTTGTAGTGCAAATTGTAGTGAGACATGGAGGATCTCCACGGTTTTATCTACACCAAACAAATGACGATCATTTTGGAAGAGAAGTGTGTATTGGTGTGATTCAAAAAATTAGCCAAGAACTGAACAATATGTGTTTGATGAGATTAATGTGAAATCGGTCATTTGCATGTCAGCATTGAATCCATTAAATTCATTTGCCTCTTATGATGCACACTGAGTACTTAACCTTGCCAAGTTTTATCCAAAAGATTTTTACCCTTGGATTTGATTAGACTTGAATTGCAACTTGGGACTTTTATATTGATGATATGAGAAAAGATGAAAGGTTCAAAGGCCTAGAAACTCTTGCTGAGCTCTCTATTAAGCTTGTGGCCTATCTATTGTAAGATATTTGAATGATTCATCTTCTAACTTTTGTAACTTCAAACTTAAATGTTGGTTTTAAGAAAGTTGTGATGTTGTGAGATACATTGCTACATTTCAATTATATTTTATTATTTTTGAAACATTTAACTTGAATTTTTAACATTGCGACAATCTGAAGCGTCAAATAGGACCACCCGACGATTCGTTCCTGGAGCCGGCACCGCCCGCTCCACCGCACCCGCGCGCTGCAGCCACCGAGCAATGGAATCGAGGAAGCCGCCACCCTCTGCCCTCGTTGACAACCACGTGGTACGCGCCCCAAGCCCTCTTACCTTACCCCGACCTCCGACTCGCTATCCCTGCGGATTTCGATTTTTCTTTTTTCGCTCACTCGTATCACCATCGCCTCCCAGGTCCCCGGAGACGTCGTCCTCGACCTCACCGAGATGACCAACCAGACCATCAAGCTCGGCGCTGGCCTGCGACAGGTAAATCGTTTCGTGGTGGCAAGTGGGGCCTTGTGAGAGATTATTAGGGATTAGGGTTTAATCAAGGGTTTATTGTTATGCTTATGAGCGCTCCCCGGGGTTTGCAGGATTGCGACACCATACAGGCTACCAGTGCTGGGAGGCTACGGCTTTCGAAGCCCAACAAATATTGGGTCGAGAGCTCGCAGAAGAGGGTGAGCACTCCTGTTTGCTCTCATATATAACACAATGGAAAAAAAATGTTTGGCTTATGTGCGTCAACTTTGTCTGCTTGAGAGGTATATAGGGATCTATGGATCGTTATAAGGACTAATGAGAATGTGAATTGATCAAATACGCTCACTGTGTCTGTATAAAGTGTGTATGGCATGCTGCTTTATGCCCATGTATTGCTTTTCTTAGTGCGGCAGAAGGTTGTTTGCCCCTTCCTTAATGTTTCATGATTGAACAGAAAGATAATTATGTTGCTATTCCCACTATATTACCATTGACATGGTATGCAAATTGGTTAGGTAGACAACATATGCACATGCCATCCTGAGTCTGTTACCAGTTTAATGTTATGATTTGTTTCCTATGTCGAATGGGTTATGCTTGCCATGTTTTTAGCCTTTATATCTTCTCAACGGTAGAATGGGGATTTCACATAGTTTTTTTACTCTCTTTGTCCTTCAGCGCTAACCTGTTCTCTGGCTTTTATTCTATTTCCTTTGCAGTATATACCTTCTGTAGAAGATACAGTTCTTGGTGTTGTGGTTGACACCAAACCAGATGTAAGTGTACATTTATGTGTATTTATGTAAATTAATTCTTCTATATGATGCATTTTTTAGTATGTGGACCTAACTGTTTTGATATAATCACTGTTCTGTACATTTCAAATATACTACATGAACTGATATGGACTTCCACTGACTGTCTAAAATCTTGCTTTTAGTTTTGTCATTAAATGGGGCATCATGATGCACCTCATATGATATATTCTTACCTCTTTGCTGAGCTGGATTCTGTCATTACAGAACTTCTTGGTGGATATAAAAGGTCCTAATTTGGCCTTTTTACCAGTTCTTGCATTTGAAGGTGGTACCAGGAGAAATATTCCAAAGTTCGAGGTATGGCAGTGACTAATGGGTCATCATCATTCATCAATTGTTGTTGATTTTTTTTTTCCCAACTCAATTCTTTCATAGGTTTTTTGTCATGAAATTCACTGTGGTATCCTGCTTTTATTGGCTGCCAGCTTTGAGAACATTTTTCTTACTTTAGGTGGTCTATATACCATGATTTATAGATATACTTGAAATTATCTTAGTTTGAATAGGTATCATCTTTGTTTCAGAAAATAATGGTGAACTCACTCTGTTATGATGTATAGGAGAATATTGTTTATTTCATTGAATAATTGTGTTCTTGCACATGCAAATATCATGTTTCTCCTTGTTTTAAACTGCTACTGCCTAGAGTTACATAGCCAATAGTTTCTGATTTTCTATGCAGCGATATGGGCTTAGATCTGTAACTTCAACAACGTAATATGTTGTTTGTATATCTTTCATTTTGATCAGCAACTCACTGATATGTTGCTTTTCATCCTCCTTTGTCTTTGTACTAAAGCGGCATATACAGCAGGCTCAATCTGTGCCTTACCCCATGATATTCTCCTGCAGATTGGTACATTAATATATGCACGAGTGGTGAAAGCAAATAGCATCATGAACCCAGAGCTCTCGTGCATGGATGGTAAAACTATTATCTTACAACTCAGCATTGGGATTTTCTATTTTATACTAATCCATTAGAAGTACTCAAGTATGTCTTTTGTTGTTCTGTCACTCTCTATATGATAATATTTGACCTTACGTAATGACACCATTTCAGGCTATACTGTTATTATGTTTGAATTTGTCTAATTATTGTATTAGCTCTGTTACTTCAATATGAATATATTGCTGTGGCTTGTATTTTGCAGCTACTGGGAAAGCAGCCGAATTTGGTCAACTAAAAGATGGCTATATGTTTGACACGTCTACTGGCTTGTCGCGGATGTAAGGACATTACATACTAGCATTCTTCAATGCAGTTGCATTATTTTCTTATATTTTGTAAATTGTTGCTTGTAGGTTGTTAAGTTCTCCAACATGTCCAGTTCTAGAGGCCCTTGGAAAAAAACTTTCATTTGAGATTGCTGTTGGCCTGAATGGCCGAGTCTGGGTATATGTCTTAATTATATCACTCTTTTATGTATCCTCTTATCTTTGTTTCTTTGGAAAAATATAAATCGTTAATGTCCTTGTAGGTTAATGCACCTTCTCCAAGTAATGTCATTGTTGTATCAAATGCGATTATAAAATCAGAATCTTTGAGTGGCATAGGGCAACGAAGTATGGTGGAAAGTCTCTTGGAGAGACTATCTTGATGGTAAGCAAACTTTTTTTTTTGTCTTGAGTAAAAGTTTGAATTGTGGTTTCTATTTTGCTTTTAATATTAACAAGTATAACATGGGGTCTTATCATTTTTTGTTACTTAATTTTAAATATTCATTCCAATTTATGTTTCTATGAGGAGTATATATTTACCCTAAACAAAAACTTAAGCTGCGGTCAGTTTTAACTTGGTCTCTCTGCATTCTGCAGCTGCCCTCAGGTCCCTACTAAGATGAAAGCATACTTTGTTCTGTTGTTCGATTTCTCATTTATTTGTTATATCATGCAATCACCAACTATGAGGTTGATATGACAGTTTCCTTTGTCATGTTAGCTAGATCTGGATTCCTAGGTCCTTTGTGAGCATTCTTCCTTATCTGTTATTGTCTCACTTGATTATTAGCCATAGCCCACAAATTACATGTTTCTGCCTTCACATCATGTTATACAAAAATATGTTCTCATGTATAGCATAGGACTACCTCTAATCTACACCTTTATGCTCATTTTTCCTTCTCATCATTATTATTTTGTGGGTACACTGTTCTCTAGTCAGGGTAGGGAGAACCGACTGATTTGTTTCCCGCTGTACGGCAACAGGGGCAACAGGGTATGATGCTCCGGCAGTACTAATGGATCTTAAAGGACTGGTTAGGCGTCAGTTATGATTCTGCAAACCGGAGAAACGGCACTATAATCATGTTATCTCAACAGGTAGCGGTAGATGAATGTACACATAAGCAGGTACATGAAAGAAGCTGATGCGTTCTGATGAATGTATGAAGTTAACTGGATGATTCCGCTTATGAAACTTTGTAGCGAGTTTTGTTCCAATCATACGTGATACGTTGGTTCGTAAGATGTCCTGGGATTTGCACAAGGTTACTTGCTGATCTGCTGGTCTTGTTGATTTAGAACGAAATCATGACCTGGTAAATGGTAATTAATATTTTCACTGGTATTGAGTGAGCGAATTGAACTTTTTTCCCAGGTATAATTTGAACATGTTAAGACAAACATCTATTACTTATCACCTCAATTCAGAGAGGTTTCTGATACTCATCAGAATGTAAACTGACTTAACTCCTGTGACACACACACAACCTTCTTGCCAACATTTTTTCCACTGAATAGACCAACCAACGCAGCAGGTGCATTCTCCAACCCTATGCTCATGTCTTCTACATACACAATCTTGCCATCTCTGTAATGCTTTGCCATGTCACTGACAAACTGTGGGAACATATGGAGGTGGTCGCTCTGGATGAACCCCTGCATTCTTATCCTCTTTGGTACAAGGCAGAAGATGTTGTGGATCCCTACAGGATCAGTCAGCGCATTCTGAGAGACCATCCCGCATACGGCAATGCGACCATGGGTCCTCATGTTGAGGAGTACAGCATCAAGCATTGGACCACCTACGTTCTCAAAGTAGATGTCAATACCTTCAGGGAAATACCTACACAAGGACAAATCACAAACAGACTTAGATCATGACAACGGTATTATGAATCATTCAGTGAGTTCAGCAGGTCGATTTTTTAAACAATAACACATTAAGTGTATGAATCCATCTTTTTTTCACTCGCGAATTTAGCTATAACAGGAGCATGTTCCACACTATTGCAGTATTTTAATTAAGATTTTTAGATGATCGTTATAATCTATCTTAATTCATCAATTGCTCATTGAACCTAAATTAAGCCGTGCCTTTTAACTGAAAGAGAAGGCCTGACCTTTTCAAGGCTGCAGTCAAGTCAGGCTCCTCTTTATAGTTGAAAGCTGCATCAAATCCAAACTTGCCCTTCAAGAGCTCAACCTGAAACATTGCTGTAAACCCTGAATGATGCATCTATACAGGTAATGAATGCAATTATCAGTTTTAAGTTAATACTTTCTGATTTGTTCCAGCACTTCCCACAACATAGCATCCATGAAGCTTTGCGAGTTGTCCTACAATTTGCCCAACTGCTCCTGATGCAGCCGAAACAAAAACAAACTCGCCCTTCTTCGGTGAGCAGATCTCATAGAAACCAGCATAAGCTGTAAAACCAGGCATGCCTGAGAAGGAAAGCAAGAAAATAAGTCGTTTTGATTTTTTTCCTCCGTCGGATCAAAGAAGTAGTTCAAAAGTAGCAGTACCATAAACAGTAATTCCTCCGTTTCATATTATAATTTGTTTTGATTTTTTTTCGTAGTTAAACTTCTTTAGGTTTGGCAAAGTTTAAAGAAAAAATTAACAACATCTACAATACCAAATTAGTTCCATTAGATATAACATTGAATACATTTTGATAACATGTTTGTTTTTAGAAATGTTGCTATATTTTTTCTATAAACTTGATCTAACCTAAAGAAGTTTAATTAAGAAAAAAAAAGTCAAAATGACTTATGATAGGAAACGGGGGGAGCAGATTCATATATCAGTATGTAACTAAATATTTTCCATTCAGTACGAAAACTATGAAATAGAAGCACTTCACTTTTCCCTAGCCAAAAACTAGTTACATCACACCATTGTCAATTCACTAGAACTACCAAGAGTAAAACACACTATATTTCCCGGAACCACACAAATGGCACACAAGCCTTTCTTGTGAAAAATTATCATGCGCCTTGTGTTCTCATTCATGATTTGTGCTGTTTTTCAGAATACAAATCCTAGCTAGTAATCAGAATTATAATAATTAACTCACCAAGAAGCCCCAAATGGTAAGAGAGGGGTATGTCACTTTGCTGAATCTTGCTCAGCTGTTCAGGCCTGTCGATCAGACTGTATTCCTCCCAACCAGTCATCCCGGAGACAATGTCGCCCGCGCTGAATCCCGGATGGGTGGAATCCACCACTCTCGCCACTCCAAGCCCTTCAATAACCTTCACACAAATGGAACCTTCAATAACCAGTAAAGCAATTCTCCGTGTAGAGGGTGAAATGCACCTCTGATTGAACGGAGAGCAGGCGAAGGGGAGGAGGAAACCTACGGATCCGGGCTTGAACGGCGGGATGTAGGATCCGTGGAAGTCCCGCATCCGGCCGCGCATGTAGGGGTCGCAGGAGAGGTAGAGATTCTTCACGAGGACCGCCGGGGCGGGGGCGGCGGCCTCCGGCACGCGCAGGGCCACCGTGCCGCCGTCGACGAGCACCATGTCGTCCTCCCTCGGCGGCCGGCCGGCGATGTACTCGCGCAGCACCACCTTCCTGTTCCTCGCCATGGGCGCCGCCTGTTGCTGCTCCATTGGCACTGCCGCTTGCCGTTTGGGTGGTAGGTAGGTGCGTTCGCTGCGGTTTTCGGTGGAATTCGTGGACGGGTTTGTACAACGTTGCCTTGAAGAGGGTAGTAGTCGGGTCGCGGTGCCCGGTTGGTTTGCAACGGCGTGGGGGCGTGGTCGCTAGATCTGACGGTTGCGCGGGGATCCACGTGGGAGGGGAAGGCCTGCTGCGGCTGCGGACGTGGACGTGGGGGGATGGGTGTGCGGTGTGCTGTGTCGTGTGTGTGATGAGTTGGATGGAGCGGGAACGCTGCGGCACACGGGAGATCTCGGCATCACGCCGTGCCGTGCCGGCGCCGCGTGATTCCGTGGCTTGGCTTGTGGCCGGCGGCTTTGCTTGGGCGTTGATGGAGTCGTGGTCGTGGAGAGCGTGTCGCATCGCATCTCGCATGGGTTGCTGGCGCGTGGAGCCGTGGGGTGGCGTTGCTAGTTGCGAGGTCGCCTGTGGGGGTGAGTGCTTTGGGCCGCGCGGTGCGGGGAAAACTGGCTTGTGGTCTGCTCTTGTATATTTGGGCCAAAGAGGACTCCGCGAAGACTTCGTACGTGGACCGAGCCGTGTTCAGTTAGGGCTTTGCGCTTACCTGTCATTCAGCCCCGGCATTCCACGCAAGAGATTTCACGCCACATCAGCCTCTCCCATTACCAAGTGAGAGCCACGGAGCCAAACTGAGCCACCGGTTCCTCTTCGGAATTGTCAGCTTTTGCCAGGGCCAACCCGCACCATCGTGGCGCCTGGGAAGGGAGAGGGAGAAAGGAGACGGAGGAAAGGAGCTCGTCTCTTTGGTTGGGGAGGGAGCAAGTCACGGCCGTGGGGCTCATTGCCGTCACCCGCTTGTCTGGACAGCTCTTCATTATCCTCGCTCAATCCAGGCTACCTGAGAGGAGAGAGGGAGAGACACCAGGGAGCGGAGGGGTGAGGGGCTTAAGGTCGGGGCCGACATCGATTCGGAGCTTGGCGAGCTTGATCGCCTCGCCGCCCTGCGTTGTCGCCGCTCGGGCCGAGCCCCTCTCCAAAATTGGATTCCCCGATAAGAAGAAAGAGAGGAGAGAGAGATTGGGATATGAAAAAGAAAAAAAAAGATAGTACTGATGGGACCCACTATAAGGTAATTTTGCACTGTGAAGTATGTTCCTTATATAATTCTTGGTCTAGTTGGCAATTCAGGTTTGGTAAAATTAGAAGACGCACTGCTACTACTGCCCTTAGAAGCTTTGTGGCCTCGGGTGAGAGATTATTAGGCCAGGCTGATTGTTCAGGGTAGCGTTACTATTCAGCGCGAGCTAGTCTCAGCTACGGAACTCATCCGCTCTCAGTCACTCGAAAAATACTGAAATGTTCTAACTGGAAATTTAATCAACTTTCAGTTCCAACCAAATGCAAACAAACTGATTTGAATTTTGAACCGCGACACTAATATCAACGACAAAAATAAAATTCTAGGTATTCATACTTCCAGTTAATTGCACTTTCAACTGTAAGATGACTTAAGAAAACAATGCAGATACTGGACAATATATAAAAAAAAGCAAGTCATTCCTCATATACATACAAGATTCTACATTAACCTTTATAGCCACCGATTTCCCATACAAAAGGGGAGGGAAATCGAACAAGATCTGTTTCAGTATACATCTAATTTTGTATTCGTGTATCGATCACAAGTACAAGTACATACGCGTATGCTACGTCGTGTAAATATGTACAGGTATACAACGTCACGTCAAATCCTATGTGTTCTCTAAGGCATTGTTTTGTTTAGAGAGCATTGAAGGAGAGTAATTCCACACCGCAATAGATGTAAAATAAATCTCCTCCAATCCCTCTCCAATGGAGATTAACCGAATGAGTCCTAACGCAGGTCAATCCGAGGTGGTTTATTCAGAGGCAGCTCGGCGGCACGACGAGGCCAGAGGCCGTGCCCTGCGCGTTGCGGCAGGAGGACACCGCCCCGGCGGCCTGCAGGCGGCCGCTCTTCCCCTGGTACGTGAGCCTCACGTCCCGGAGCCTGATCCCGCTGCACGGGTTGCTCCGGCTGCAGTCGAAGCTGACGGCCACGGGCGTCGCCGACGAGCCCCGCACGTCGGCGTACTCCACCTCGCTGATCTTGATCCCGGAGCTGCTCCCGCGCGCGGCGCCGCCGCAGCCGCCGTCGGGGCAGTAGTGCTGGTCGATGATGATGGGGTTGCCGACGCCGGCCATGGTGGAGTCCGAGAACGTGACGCCCCTGACGAAGCCCCGCTTGGAGTTACCCCATGTTTTGATCCGCAGGCCGTTGGTCGTGCCGGTGAACCACGTCGTCTTCACCGTCACGTTCTGCACCGCCTCCACCGCCATCCCCTGCTGCTTCCCCAGGCTCCCAATGCTAATTAACATCAACAACAACAACAGGTGTAATAATACTTTGATTAATTAATCAGCTGGCAGGAGGATTAAAAGATACGTGTGGTTCTACTGTTCTAGCTTAACTGAAACGAGAAAGTGGATTAGGTAAATCCCCAAAACATCGTGTGCATGCTGTGTATGCGACCAGGGAAGGAACCGGCTGGCCGGGACCCACAGTTCAGGTCCATTTCCACTAATGTGCATGTGAACCATTCTGTCACGTCGTGTATGGTCAAACGAACGAGGTATCTGGGGCTATAATTTGTCTCAACTCTTTTAGAAATTTAAGATTTTTTCCCCCTGGATGGACTGGATTAAAAAAATCATTAATTGATTTGTCACTCGATTTATGGGGAAAAAGATCATATTGCCGCCGTGCATGGACCCGTACGGGCGGACGTACCTGATGCCGTGGCCGGGGCCGCACGCGACGCGCTCGATCCAGAGGTTGGAGTTGCCGGGGCCGACGGAGACGCAGTCGTCGCCGGTGCGGATGGCGGCGTCGTACACCGCCACGTTCGTCGACTTGTGGATGTGTATCCCGTCCGTGTTCGGGCTGTCCGCCGGCGCCTCCACCGTCACCCGCCGCACCGTCACCCCGCGGCTCTGCAGCACCACCACGTGGAACAGCTCGCTGCTCACCGACCTCACCCCCTCCACCACCACGTTCCTCGCGTTCGAGATCGTCAGCGACTGCATCCATGGCGACGAAGAAGACGATTAAAAATGTTAGTCAATGAACCACCGTCGCCGTCTCGAATGTTTTGATGTGCGTACCGATGCGCCGGTGGGGCAGTGGCCGCGCGGCTGCTGCTTCTTGCAGGCCCAGAGGGCGTCGCCGCGGCCGTCGAGGGTGCCGCCGGAGACGGTGAGGCCGACGACGGACTCGAACGTGATCCACTGCCCGGCCGTGGCGCCGTCCCAGGCGTACCCGGCGGGCGCGACCACCGTGCCGGCGATGGAGAACGCGACGGCGCGGCTGCTGCACGGGCCGACGAACGTGGCGCGCCCAAGCAGGTACCTCCCCGGCGGCACGTACACCGTGGCCGGGCGCGGCGAGCGGCACGCGTCGGCCCACGCGCGGAGGAACGGCCGCGTCGAGTCGGACGCGCCGTCGCCGCGGGCGCCGTAGCGCACGACGCTGTACACGGCGCCGGCGCCGGCGGGCTCCGGGACGAACAGGAGCGCGGCGTGGAGGTGCACCAGCAAGCTAAGCATCGCCTTGGCCATGGCCATTATATTACGTGTACGTGACGAGCTAGATTGCTGCGTGTGTCGCAGGCAGGCAAGGCCGGTGTCTGTTAGGTATGCGTTTTAATGATGAATTAACGTACACGTGTATTTATAGTGGCAACATTCGTATCTGCTGGTCTCTGGGTTTTGGAAGTGAATTAAGCGTAATCGAATCACTATTACTACTTATTATCACAGGATCATGTCGTATGCAGTTTTGTGAGTGCAAAATTCATAAACCTAACATGAGATGGGAGACCAAGGTTAGCTAGCTAATGAACTTTTACGCCGTAGGGCATTGACGACTAATTGGAGGTTGGATAATGTATACATATATCAAGTGTTACGTTTCAAAACAGGGTTTGGTAGTTTCCTCGAAACAAATAAGATGGTAGCCATGGCGGCCTATGTAATTTCCATGTGTATATTGTTATAAGTGAACTGCTATGGTCCGTTTTTCAGTGTCAATTTTGAGTTGAATGGTACTTGGTACTAGAGTACGTACAGCAGAGCCAGATGTCTTAATTTTGAATTTTGTTTGGCACAATTAACTAAAGAATAATCACAAATCGCTTCGATCACATGTTCGGCCTAACCATTTCTATTTCTGAGGCTCCAGAAATTAACATTACTTTTTGTTGGGGTTTGATGAGTAGAATGTATCATTTTCAAGGTCTATTTCACTTTTTAGTACTTGCTGTCATTTAAAAAATGTGCCTTATAGTTTAGAGTAAATTTGTTCAGGAAAAGCTACTAGATCAACCAATTAAAGCCATCCGTTTGTAGCTTAGCCCATTTGGCTGACCATTTACCAGCTCCTAAGCCTCTTGATGCATTTGGAAATCAAGATCGGCAGCTTAGCTTTCATCTACCTCGTTTTCAACTACTATGCGGCAAAACGAGTTACAAATCAGTTAACCTTTTGACTTCAGGAACGACTATGGTCTAACTAATTATTTCAAAAAATGGAGTAGTATTAACCACCGCTGAAATGCAGGTGGAAACTATGGATGTTCCTCATGCATTCGTTTGAACTGGTAGTAGTCTAATTAAGAAGCTGTGATTGCTGGGCTGGAAATGTGCTTGCTGAGTTGCTGTGAGAGGGCAAATTTGTCTCCTGTACTGTTGCTATTGGGTTGGGTACATCTCAACTCAACCTAGGAAGACCTCGTATACAAGTTAATTCAAGTTCAACCACTACTCCGGTCGGGTCAAGGCCTTCGTTGGTTGCACGCTGTTAAGTGTTAAACTGTTAATCAATCAGGCCGTCACCATCAGATTATACAGTTCTATAATCTGGCATTCGGCAAGCCCTTTTTGGAATTTGGACTCCATTTTTCGTATGAATCTGGCGCCTCCAATCTCTAGAAGCGTTTCTGCGTCTGCAACCTTTAGTTTTTCTGAACGAACTGCAACCTTTAGTTTGTACCCAATCAGCTAGGCAAAATAGCAGAGTAGCTAGGCGTGTACACATACGTCCACATCTGTACAGTGCATTCGTGTCACTGATCACTAGCACTCCGAGCTAATCCACAAGCAAACTCTGCACTCGGCAAGCACTACATTTCACGGGCGCAACATCGTGTCCGTTCCATGCCGGACGATAGCTGTCTCTCGAGTTTGTGCCATGTAGGCGATCTCCCCACAAGCAACTCGCTGGTTGCTGCATCCTGCGAGGGATACGCAAAAGATGATTCGTCGATTGATTCTGGATTTCTGGTTACGCTAAGTTATGCTGATCCGTGTGGCTCTCCACAACGCTAGCAAACTGAACATTTCATATATATTTTTTGAAAAAAAAAATATTTGAAACTTTGTTTGTCGAGAAATAGAGAAACATTATTGAGATTTACGAAAATTTGCCTATAGCTAGTTAGTTCGATTTAGTGAAGTTAAATTGATAATCCAGGGGAAATAATGCGAGAAGGCAGCCGAGCGAGGCGCGAAAGTTAGTTTGGAAGGCCCAACTCCTTAATGGGCCGAACTGATGGTTCAGTTCAGCAAAGGCCATCTGGGCTAAGTTCTTCCTCAAACCAACAGAAAGAGAGCCGCCCAGCCCAGGAACGGCTAAATTCTTGTCCAGAAAAGACCACATGGCCCAGTCTGCCAAAGCCGACAACGTTCATGTCATGTACATTGCCATCTTTTTTGTTTCAGCTGGTCCCTGTGAGCCGATATACTTCATCAAGGGCACTGTATAGAAAATATTTGAATTCAAATTCAAATTTGAATCGGATATATATACTTTTGGTCTCTAAACTTTAGATGTGTAAACTTGATGTGTATAAACTTTAGGTGCATAAATTTACTAAAATAGGAAAGTAATGCGATGCCAAAAAAGGAAACCAGGTGGAGGGAGGAGGGGGGGCACCCGATCGCTACCCCATCAGCTGGGCGATCGATCGCCCATTAGAGGTTTCGCTTCATCAACATCTCAGGGAAAAGACCAAAATAAGTTCGCATTTTGGACCCATAATAAGGAATAAATTTATGAAAGTTTTTTTTTTGTCAAAAAGAAAACCCACAGTTGCATCATGATTCATGAGATGCCAATAAGAGAGAGATGAGATCAATCAGGAGCAGGAGCCAGGAGGAAAGCTAACCAGACATGTTCACAAGGACAGCACCATCTGGCGTCGTTGGACAGCGAGAGCGGGCAACAACGTGTGACTGACCTACCACAACTAACCTGTAGACTGTCTTGCACCACCTCCTGACCTCCCGCCAATCCATCGAATCCAAACAAGAACTGACGGAGTCTGCAAAAAAGCCAACAACAAAATTAGTTTTGACACCCCTTGATACTTCCGATCTGCATTTTATTTTTTTGCAAATAAAATATAACCACGGCATGCGTGCTTGACAAAACACTCTTGTTTACATAAAGAAAATCAGTTGATCACATTTGAAAGTGTGTTGTACAAAGCTGATCGGCGCGCCAAACTTGGACCCATTGTGCTATATGGAGATGTGAAGCTACCAAAATTAGCATCAGTGAGCTACTTGCCTGGCCAACCGTCCCTGTTTGTTGGGTCACCAAAGTTGCATCCGACCTATTCATGCCATTTCGTCCCTCCATCTACCCGCTCCACGCCGCCTCGTCATCCCTTCATTACTACCCTCGCCATGCTTCCGGTGCTTCCTCTTCCCTCTTCCTTGTTCCAAGATAGGAATCCAATAAGCTGTCCTGTTAGTTTTCAGTTTTTCATCCAAAAGGTGTAGATTAGGAGGTGAAAATGAAGGTGCAAGTAGAGGACTAGAGGTTCCTTCAGGTTTTCTACTTGCCTTGCGCTTGCAGGTAAGCACATTGTTCATTACGAAATGGCTTTTCCATCATTGCTCACTCAAGAAAAATACAGCCACATGTTTCCCCTCGAATTTGCCAAGAAATAATAGTGAACCTGCAGCAGTTGTTGGATCTTTGTCACACCTCATAGATTGCTTTCTTCCACATAATTGCAGATTTTGCAGAGAAGGATATCCTATCACCTTGCAAACATGGCGCAGGCTCTGAGTTTGGGGTTGCTTCTTGCGTTTCTGGCAATTCAATCCTGCATCGCCATTGAGCTGACTGATCACATCGACTTGTGGCCTATGCCAACGTCGGTGAGCCATGGAACACAAAGACTTTATGTCAGCAAAGATATCACAATGTCAATGGAGGGAAGCACGTATCCTGACGGGAAAGGGATCTTGAAGGATGCCTTCCAGAGGGTAGTTGATTTAATGAAACTGAACCATGTCGTTGATGGTGCAAACCCAAGTTCTTTTGTACTCACTGGTGTAAATGTAGTTGTCCATTCACCTGAAGATGAGGTAATCAGCTAACTTGGCCTGTTGAATAGCAAGTTCTCTTAGAAACTGAATTGGTTTTTTCTGTTAATGCCTGCACTGTTCATCTTCTGCAGCTCAAATTCGGAGTAGATGAATCATATAACTTATCTGTTCCTACAGCAGGATATCCATTGCGCGTACAGATTGAGGTTAGTAGAAGTTAAATTGCTTTATGTTGTGGAAAATAGACAATAGTTTTCAAATGAAAAGACAGTAGAAGCATGCTCCTTAGTTGCTACAACTCCATTAGCGATGACGACTAAATTGTCATCCTACAGAACAACAATAAACATGATATGTTCTATGAACGAAGAATATATTTCTACTCTGAAATTGAGTAACCTGTTTTCCATACAAAAAAAGGTTAGACACATGTTAAAAGTTCATAAAATATGCTGATTTCACAAATATTGATATCACTTCCTACATATTATTTTTCTCAAAAGTTGCATCACACAGATTATTTAATGTCTCGGAAATAAAAACTAGCATAATACCAGATAGATAGATAGATAACTAAATGCAAATCACAAGTTATCTATGTGAAGTATCCTGTAACATCCACTGAGCAATAAAATATACTCCCTCCGTTTCACAATGTAAGACTTTCTAGCATTGTCCACATATATATAGATGTTAATGAATCTAAACACATACATATGTCTAGATTCATTAACATCTAAATAAATGTGGGCAATGCTAGAAACTCTTACATTGTGAAACGGAGGAAGTAGTTTGTTTGCTAAAGAACAATTGCTAAAATTGTAGTGGGCTCTTTCATATTTGTCTTGCATGGAAAAGGAAGTAGCTAGGCTGTACAACCAAGTGAAGCGCATGATGATGTCAAATTTATGCATGGCCCAAGTTTGCTGCAAATAGTTTGATAAAGTTCATGTAATAATGTACGATATCCATTTTCTAAAAAAAATGTAATAATGTATGGTACCTTGCAATATTTGTAGGCTCAAACAGTATTTGGAGCACTTCATGCTTTACAGGTAACCAACCATAATTTGTATGTTCTAAAAATTCTTCTGAGGCAAATCTGACAGTAAACTCTTCATCGCTGCAGACATTTAGCCAACTGTGTTACTTCGATTTCACATCAAAACTTATAGAACTCATCTCGGCTCCTTGGAGAATTTCTGACACACCAAGATTTCCTTACCGAGGACTTCTTATTGGTAAGATACAATATGATCTCTAACCTGTTTTTGCATCCCCAACAAACAATTATCACATAGCAATATTACTACCGACTACAAGCCGACCTTTGAAATGTGAACTTTTTTTAAAATAAAAACTTTGGATTTAACAACCATACAAACAACATAGGTATAGCATAAGTTGTACCATATAAACAAACACATATCATTCAATTGTACATACTGCTCATAACCATTTCCCTGCTGATTAAGGATCAAATGCGCCTGCATGCAGATACCTCAAGGCACTACCTTCCTGTTACGGTAATTAAAAAAGTGATTGATACAATGGCCTACAGTAAATTGGTATGTTTGCTGACTAGACAATACAAATTGCTTAGAACCATTGTTGTGTTTATGTAAGTATGTTCTTTGCAATGGTTTTCATTGTGATATCACACTATCTTGTTCTTTTTCATCATGCAGAACGTTCTCCATTGGCATATTGTGGATGCACAGTCATTTCCCATTGAAATACCTTCATACCCTAAACTGTGGAACGGTTCATATTCTTTTTCAGAGAGATATACGACGTCTGATGCTGTAGACATTGTACGGTGCGTTTTCTGTTCATTGCCATGCTAGATTTATTTGCCATCACAAAACAACCAAAAGCATGCTTAGAATGAAATGTGGGAGCTACACCCATCACAACAAAATATCCTAAATATTGCAATTAGTCACATTGTAAGATTGCTTTTTTGTTGCTTTTACATGATTGTATACATATTGTAGTTGTTTCTGTTTTATTTGCATGGGGTGCGACTTATTTTTGTATGTGCCTTTATCTTCCGTTGTACTGAGTACTCAAGAGCTTAGCCCACCTTTCATATTATACATCTGATAAATAAATATAGAGTGTAACTAACAAAATACTTTGTATATTATAGAGAATAATAGAACTACCAAACAAACAATAAAAATATACTGTAGGAATCATACACATGATTGTGAGGGGCCATAAACATGTTCTAAATCTTCTGGATCACAAATTACCTAAAATATTGTGTTAAAAATAACAAACTAACAATAATTCGGCAAGGGCAATCAAAAGGACTGACATTGACTCTATTTGAAGAATTGTATATGCAGTATGCACAAACATTTAATCTAGTTAGCTTTTCAGTTAAAGGCTGAACATTCTATAGCATATAAATTTTGGATGTCTCGCTGTCGCTATCACCAAAGTTATGTGCTAGAATTTAAAAAATTAAGATCACCATCTATATCTTTGCAGATATGCTGAAAATCGAGGTGTAAATGTTATGGCTGAGATTGATGTTCCTGGTCATGCTCTGTCATGGTAAGACACTTATAAATTGTTTTAAAAGATGTAAACTCCAAGCATATAACAAAACCACATAATATTTTGTAGTGCAAAACTTAGTTTATCCTTTGAAGGCACTAAAGTAAACAGTAAGACCCATCAGTGGAGTTGAGAGAACACTTTTTTTGTGAGCATGACACAATAAGTTTATATACTATATAGTATAATAGATTAATAGGCACATAACCATAAGAAATGGATGAAAATGTGAAAAATGCACCTTTTCAGGGGCGTTGGCTACCCATCATTGTGGCCATCAGATAGCTGCAAAGAACCACTTGATGTCAGTAACAACTTCACGTTTGGAGTTATTGATGGAATTCTTTCAGGTGATACATTATATATTTTGCTGACAGAAACGAAACATACAAATTTGGTAATATAATTGTTATTTCAAAAGATTATTTGGTGTTTGGGGTTTGGGCATGTTTTGGAAAGAAATCGGTGATTATTAAACTTGGTAGCACATACATCTGAATCAATTAATAATGGCAGAAAGTTGTGATTATCTTATTCAACCGTCTGACATAGTTTCTCTGTTATCTTTCAGATTTTAGCAAAGTTTTTAAATTCAAATTTGTGCATTTAGGAGGTGATGAAGTCAACACAAGTAAGCAGAAGTCTTGTATATGCATTTTCTTGTGGTACACACACCATGAATGTATATATTATTCATTTTATTATTATTGTCTAATTTCAGGCTGCTGGACTGCAACACCCCACATTAAGAAATGGTACAAACAGGGGAACTCAGGATTTGATAACTTACATGATGTGATAACATTCTTTGTAGTCATACAAAATAAACCAGTCATCTTCTGGCATCTCTCGATTTATTTAATGATAATCCTATTTCACGGGGCAGGTTGGATGATAACCAAATGAATGTGTCAGATGCATACAGATATTTTGTGTTGAGATCCCAAAAGCTAGCAATATCACACGGTTATGATGTCATCAACTGGTATGTCTTTTGGTTGCAGTCCTTGCAGATTTCACAGGCTTTAGGGAGTTCACAACTATTAACAAACATGCCATGCTTGCAGGGAGGAAACATTTAACAATTTTGGAGACAAATTGGACCGTAGAACCGTGGTTCATAACTGGTAATTTCTCACTTCCTGTTTGATTTATGACATTAATGAGTAGGGAATTGCTGGCAATGGGCATAATAATTGTCATAGTTAAATACTCCTATGTTCTAAGAAAAAAAAGGGGAGTTAGATCCAATCACCTCTAATGTACAATTATTTGTCTTTGGAATATATGCTCACAGTAAGACAAATAGTCCATCACTAGCCCATCTTAGTTCTTACTGTTATCAAAACAATTATCAACTGGTACATTTACTCACAAATTAACAGGCTTGGAGAGGATGTAGCACCAAAAGTGGTTGCGGCAGGGCTGAGATGCATCGTAAGCAACCAGGATAAGTGGTACCTAGATCACTTAGATGCCACATGGGAGGGGTTTTACACGAATGAACCTCTGAAAGGTATTGACGACCCAGAGCAGCAAAGTTTGGTCATTGGTGGTGAGGTTTGTATGTGGGGCGAACAAATTGACGCATCGGATATTGAACAAACCATTTGGCCACGTGCTGCAGCTGCTGCAGGTAACTAATGTAGTTGGCTATTCTAATTTATGTGGTGAAATATTTTAATTAGTGCATGCACATCATAATGGTGTCTGATAGTATTCGAGTTGGTTATCTTAACACAGGAGTATACTTAGAATGTAGCTTTCTTCCCATCCCATGTACAGAATAACAATGAAAATTTTGAGAACACTGAGTAGTCATTGAAATTCCCATTAGTAAAATTAAAACATCAACTAGAGTCTAAATGTTCATTACTCGGATTTGTTATATGCTATTTAAGGAACATGAAAGCGTAGTATCAACAATCAAAGACACACAAGCTAATTGCTGAGCAAAGGTTAGGAACTCCAACCAGAAGATTCCTGAAAAATGCCCAGTTGCCCACAGAAAAAAAAATGTAACCATTTCCATTATCTGAAAAAGTTGCCCACAAAAAGAATGACATAGTAACATGCCTGCTAATATCAATATACTATTTAAAGCACATGGTTTACAGTACAGAAGCAGAATTATTGTGCAATATTCTCGATTATAATATTAGCATTGCATGTTTTACTTCAATGTCACTTAATATACTAAGAACTGCATGAATATGTTAACATCTCTATGGACATGAACTGACTCACCATTTCATTTGTACTGCATTCAAGAGAGACTATGGACTCCTATTGAGAAGATTGCAGAAGACCCAAGATTGGTCACGTCAAGATTGGCACGCTTCAGGTGTTTGCTGAACCAAAGAGGGGTAGCTGCTGCACCGGTGGCTGGGTATGGCCGTACAGCACCATATGAACCTGGTCCCTGTGTAAGGCAATAGGATATTCATAGCAAGATGAAGGTAGTATGAACAGAGGATAAACTTTGTTCAGGATTCACTTTTACCAAGTGTAACATCAGCATCTCAATATTCAGATAGTTCAGTGGTTAGACTATTGAATATCCTAAGTTAACCTATTATCCCTATTTTTCCCCTCTTCCAATTTTCAACAGAATAATTTTGAGGATTCAGATTAATTGACTTGGACAGAATCACAAGAACTGACCGTAGAGCCGTAGATGTCATAGCAGCAAATCTGTTTTGACACCAAATTTAACTTTGTTGCAAACATTGCCATCTCCCTACACATGATCACGCATAAAATTCAAGGGCATGGTCACAGTCAACAAAGAATCCACATAGCTACAAGAAAGCACCTAACATCAGATCATATTTGACTTGTCATTTGGAACACTGAAATGAAAGAAACTTTGATTGTGTATCATTACTCAATGATCTATTTATCTCCAGTTGTGAAATGTGCCTTCACCAATTTCTAAACTAGAACAGGTTGAGACATGCTACCAGAAATACTGGCTTTTGGTGCCTCTTCCTGACTACACTCATCAGGTTCATCACCAGACACCCTCTCAAAGTTCTCAAAGGTCGTCTGCATGGATGCTATACGCTCCTTCATGCCCTCAAGATGCCGAGCCAGATCTAACCCCATTTTCATCCATTTTCTAGCCACTTTAGCTTGGTGAAGCCGTAAAGGCAAACATGACATGTTCCAGGCGGTTGCTACAAGCCACTGGCCTTCCTCAACTGGGTATTCACCCTCTTTCAGTCCAACCACAATCTGGTAGGCTTGTTGAAATACATCATAGGCTGCATCACTCTTGCTACCATTTAGGTCTTGTAAGCCAGCGAGACAGGCTAGCTTCCTGAGTGCACAGCTGATTACCCTGTAGTTTGGCGATTGTGAAGCAAGGGCAGTGGTGATGCAGGCCTTCAGGGAAAATTCAGCAGCCAGCATGTTAGGTAGGGCCCCTTTAGAAGCTGTTACACCAAGTGTAAGAAGATTAGCAGGTGTGCATGCTTTAGAGGAAGCAAAATTCTTGATCAGTTGTAGCTGCTGAGGATGTGCAGGGGTCCCCATCCTGCCCATGAGTTGGTAGGAGTTGAAGGTGTGAAGGTACAGGAAGTTGTTGGCCTCCAACTGATCAGAAGCCACTGGAACGGAGGGTGAAATCAAGGGCAATAGCTGCACATCAAAATAACGAAGCAAATCATTTTAGAGAAAATCAATGACTTTCAAACACAGAAGACAACGGTAACTTTTTGATATTTGCCAGGCTCCATCTTTACCTTTCCAGCTCTGCTTAGCATCTCAACACCTTTTTTAATGTCAGAATCTGACAACGGAGAATTGTTTAGCTCCTCAGCATTGAGCATGATAGTGACAGCCATGATCAATGCTTTGCAAACCTTGGACCGATTTTCATCACATTCAGCATTACGTGAGCTGAAGAACTCTGCTGCAAGCTCAAAAAACTCAGCGCCAAAATTGTACTTCTTCTCCTTTGACGCCCTTAAACCCATATTCCAGCTAAGGTCAGCAAACCAATTCAGTTCACGCCCCCCAACAATTCCACTGCCAAAAAAGCTTTCCACACCAAGATCAGCCATCCGTTGCTTGGCACGTCTTGAGTACTTCAGGATCTCAGCTTCAGTCCCTGGCTCACGAGAGAGGAGCTCAATAAGGTTGCGCAGAACAGCAACCTCAGGCATTGGCATTGGCCTCTCAGCAGAATAGAGGCCAAGAAGATAGCTCAACGAAGCAACTGCCACACCAAAAGACTTGCAGGACATAGCTTCATGAGCAGTGAGTGTTAAGAACTCAGGGTTGAAGTCAACACAGCCCACCATCGTCTTCATCTGCTTGAATGCCTCGTCCTCCTCCCCCTTCTGCAGATTAATCTTAACCTATAAATTCGCTCAGGTTAGTAAATTTACCAAATAAATTGGGGTCATTGCAAAGCTAACATGTATAGACTTGTTACCTTCAGAAAAGCACACTTGATATTGGGTTCAACCTACAGGTAAAGATTTTTGGTCAAATATATGAAGCAACACCCAGGACCATCTGACAAAGGATAAGGAGAAAACTTAGTACCTTGTAGGCTTCATTGACGAACTCGAGGGCTCGATCAAGATGCTGAAGGGCAATGTGGCAAATGCTAAGGACTCGGAAGCAATCTGCACGGCGGGATCTGCTTTCTTCATCACGAGACACATAAAGCATCGATCTCTCAATCAAGTCCGCACTGGTATCATAATTCTTCGCGCGGAAATGCTCTGTGCCACTGTCCCAAATTCCAAATTCCAGATTCAGCATCAGCAGGCGCGCGCATTAACAAACAGAAGATCAATTGGGTAAGAGAGTGCAAACCAGTTCCACAGCAGTGCATGCATTGTGCCACGCTCATGGGTGTTCCCGGGGCCATCGAACAGGGCGACCACCCTCTCATCCGACACGAGCTCGGCGATGGCCCTTGCACGCCCAATTCCCCCGCCACCACCGTCGATCACCTGCTTCACCACCCTCACTGCAGCAGCAGCACCTCCGGCGCGGCAACGCGCGGCGAGCGCAATGAGCACCTTGCGTGCAGCCTCAGGCCCCGCAGCGGCGAGGTACGCCTCTGCCGCCGACACGCACAAGTTCTCCGTTGCTAAGGCGTTGGCCATCAGCCGCTCGAGCTCCTTGTCGGCCTCCGCCATGTTCCCGCTTCCGATCCACGCGCGCATCGCCATGACCCCGATGCTCGGGTGCTCCTCCTCCAGCCCCATTGATGCCCTCGAGACCCGGATGCAACGCAGCACGCCTTCGTAGTCCTGGGCTTGGAGCCGCTCGAGAGCGAGGAAGCGGAGGCATCGCCTCTTGAGCCCCTCTAGATTTGGGGTTTTAGGAGTGGCGCCGCCGTAAGGGGGAGTCCTTGGGCTGGAGCTGGAAGGAGAGGCCGCCTTCTCGCAGAGATCTAGTGCTTCGGTGAAGAGAGTGGACGCTTCGACGGCGGGATTCGAGTGCTTCGCGGCGAGCGTGGCCTCGCCGATGGAGAGGTACCCCTGGGCGAGGGATTTGGCACCCTCCGGCGATGCGGCGGCGAGGGGCTTGGACCGGCTCAGGAGCGCGACGGCGAGGGCTTGATCGCCCGCGTCCGACGCCGCGCGGGCACGCGCGAGGTTGAGCTCGAGGAGGACGCCCCGATCCTCCGTTGCGGCGGCGGAGACCAGCGGCGTGGCCTTCTCGAAGCAGGCGGAGGCGAGGTCAACGCGGCCGAGGTCAAGCCAGGCCAGGCCGGAGCGGTGGAAGAAGGAGGCGACCTTCGCGGCCGCGGAGGGGACACCGTTGGGGATCCCGGCGAGGAGCAGGAGCTCCGGCGCCGCCTGCCGGATCTCCGCCTCCACGGCGAGCGCGGCGGGACCCCCGGCGAGGGCGGCGGAGTTGGCGCGATCGACCACCGCGTTCCAGAGGCGGGTCCCGAGCCGCCATATCTGGACCGAGAGCGACTCGGTGAAGGACGAGGAGGACGCGGCGGAGGCAAGGCTGGTGAGGATGCGGCGGAGATCGGCGGCGAGCTTCTCCGGGGCCGTCGCGGAGGCGGCGAACGACTCGACGTCGGAGACGGCCTTGCTGAGGTCGGCGATGAGGCCGGCGTGCGACGGCGGCTCCCGGTACTCGGGGGAGAGCTCGGAGATCTTCATCGGCGGCGGGAGCTTCGAATCGGATGGCGATGAGCGGGAAGAAAGCGAGGGGTGGCCGCGTGGAAGCGGGAGAAGGAGAAGGGGAGCGGAGAGAGGAGGAAGAATTACGGGAGGGGGGAGAGCTCGAAATTTGAATTGCTTGCATATATCCTCCCCTTTTATACCTGGAGCATATTTGAGAAGAACTCGAAACATCGAACTGCTTGTAAGTTATCAACAATTCCACCCAAAATACGCCAATTTTCAGTGCAAGTCTCACATGTGACTGTGAGGGCATGCAGCTCATTGGCAAACCATGATGAAGTGGGGGAAATTGACATTCTGCTATAGCCGGAGAGGGGTTTCAAATATAATGCTTGCCGCACGTTGGTTTCGATAAAATGCCACTAACAAATTAACCCCCACACGCTCCATATTCTATTTTCTCCATTTGAGGCAAAATGAAAATGTGTTTGTGTTGTATTTCGTGGTGATCTAACCAATTTGTTCCAGTGATCGTTTTTACTGTGATCAAAAAATTTGTGCAAATATAAAAGTTGTGCTTAAAGTAGTTTGGATAATAAAGTAAGTCACAAATAAAATAAATAATAATTCTAATTTTTTAATAAGACGAATGCTCAAACGGTGCAAGCAAAATATTAAAATCACTTATATTAAGGGGCGGAGGGAGTAGAAAAAAAATAAATACATTTTTTTGCAATAGATGGGTCAAATGGGCGCACAATATTTGAATTCATTTACAAGATTACAAAGATAGAAGAAAATATGAATATGAACTGAACTGAAAAAATGCACCTGCAAGAGATTGGTCAAATGGGCTCACAATATTTGAATTCATTTACAAGATTACAAAGACAAGAAAATATGAATATGAACATGAAATGAAAACAAATAAAAATATATGAATTCATTTACAAGATTACAAAGCAGAAATTCATTTACAAGATTGCAAAGCAGAAGAGAATTTGAATACGAAGTGAACTGAAAAAAATAAAAAACATATTTGAAATGTCTGAGCCCAGGTTCGAACTGGGGACCTTTAGTGTGTGAGACTAACGTGATAACCAACTACACCACCCAGACTTGTTGAGTAGAAGAATATTTCTATTGATTTTATCCTAGTATTCAAGTATTACAGATTGCCATGCTTATTCCCATCTATTTTTTCACTAATTATTCAAAATTCAAACTTCAAAATTACACTGTACAACGACTAACGCGAATTCCACATTCTAAGTAAGAAATGAGCTGAAAGATATTCAAAACAAAGAACTGAATATGTATATGTAAGTTCGGAACGGCTCATTTTAAGACCCTAATGACACTATACTGCTTCAAGCCAAACGCTACAATCTTCGCCGCCGGAGAACGATTTCCTGCTCAAATAGAAGTTGCTCGAGTCTGCATAAAGTAAGTTCAATCCAAATCAGAACACCAGAACTGCAGAAGTGAACAAGCCAAACATGAGAAACTGAAGCACAACTGATATGAACGTCTCCATGGAGCACACTCTACACACTGGAAAAAGGATAATATCAGTACAGTAGTATAGAGCCGATACAGTTTTTCGTATCTCAAATGTACAAATGTCTGTTCACTGCTGAAGGTACCAAACAAACACATCCGACTGATCACTGGAAGGTTTTTATTGCCGTACATAGATTACTATCACATACAACATCAAACAATTAACATGGCTAAATTAGCACATCAGATCAAACATCGTAGGTAACACAGAAATGGAGTATTTCTTGGTGCAGAGGCCTAGTTACTAGCTTGATTCATCTCAGAAGAAATTTCATATGATTTCACACCTTGACCAAGAACCTGAAGATATCTTGGAACTGGTGGCATTTCAACATCTACCAGTCCTTCTAGGATCTGAACGATTTCCCCCATTGTCGGCCTGGAGCTCTCACTGTCTTGAACGCACCAACAAGCAACCTTGCATGCCCTATCAAGCTCGCCTAGGTTCATGTCATCACTTGATTCAGAACCAAACAACTTGTGCAACTCTCCTTCTACAAGCTCCCTCGCAACTAACACTGGAAAGAATGAGCCTCCATGCATACCGTTCCTCTTTCCAGATATGATCTCGAAAAGCATCATTCCGTAGCTGAAAACATCTGCCTTTGTTGTGATGGCCTCACCGCTTATCCACTCTGGTGCAAGATAACCTATGGTGCCTCTCATTGACGTTAAAACCCTACTAAAATCCCGGCCTAAGAGCTTTGCCATTCCAAAGTCCGCCACCTTCGGAGTAAATGATGAGTCCAGCAATATATTCTGGGGCTTGATATCACAATGTATGATGCAATCCCTGCATTTCTCATGCAGATAAGCTAATCCTTTAGCGATTCCAGCAGCAATTTGATATCTTGTGCTCCAACTTAATGACACACCGGTACTCCCGAATAGATGATGGTCCAATGAACCATTGGGCATATATTCATAGACAAGCAATCTCTTTGCCCCTTCAGAACAAAACCCAAGTAGTTGAATCAAATTGATGTGATGAATAGTTCCAATAGTGCTCACTTCTGCCCGGAATTGCTTCTCTCCCTGACGGACACCCTCAAGCTTCTTAACTGCCATTGCAGTTGTATCTGGTAAAGCCCCTTTGAACACAGAGCCGAAAGACCCCACACCCAGTCTCTCAGAAAAGTTTTTGGTTAGGATTTGAAGATCGCTGTATTTGAAAGTGATCAGAGACCCATCAGTGTGATTCATACTACTAATCCGTCTTCTCCCATGGAGAGAATAAAAAACTATCACCACAAGACCAAGAGTAGCAAATCCACCAGCGATAATCCCAATAATCCACCATTTCTTGGTTCTTGAATTTGGTAGCTCTGATGCTGCCAATCGAATATAAATGGAGTCCATAGTCCCATCAGTGCTGTCTTGCAAGTTCATAAGCTCTGAGTGCCAAAGTGAACAAGTACCATTATAAGAGTAGGCAGTACAGGAACAATTACTCAGGCAAGCCAATTTGCAGCTGTGAATACTGGTAGCCTCAATACTCTGTGATTTGTCAGGAAGCTTGACACTGCCTATTGTATAGAACCTATCTTGCTGTCCTCCTGCTGAACTCTTGCTTCCGCATTGCAGCATGACATTTCTCCTACAACCAGCAGTTTGATCACCAAGATTCCAACTATTTGGATCACGAATGCTGAAGCCCTTGAGGCAGCTACATGATGACAAGGCACTCCCACTACACTTGCTATTAACTCCACAAAGTCCATACACGCCACAATTTGCTTTCGGTTGTGAAAAATAGAGTACCCAGGCTTGTGCTGACTCTACCCATACCAAAGACTGAGTTTGACCTGACACACCAATGGCATGCCTTGATAATACTCTATCATCTGTAACATTGTAGGTGAAGTATGTCTCCTTGTCATTGTTAACAAACTTATAAGTGTAAGGGGTGTTGGGATAGGTATTAGCAGGTGACAACTCTGGCATGTTAGGAAATGAACTGCCAGTCCAATTACCAGTACCCCAATACACCACAGACTTATTCCACGAGATAATGTACTGGTTTGAGCCATCTGGATCAATCTCTACAGAGAACATTCCTGGTGCTGGATCACCAAGGTTTTTCTAAGAGATCATCCTTTCTGGCACTCCAGTCACCTTGTTAAGACTGAGCTTGTTACCTGGGAGCCATGTGTCTGTGATATCATCGAAACTTTGCCAGAGCACACTTGAAGCATTGGACTCCTGTCTAATAACTAAGTTCCCTGTATCAAGGAGCACAGCAACCATGGGACTGGAACCTGTATTTGTTGAATTGGTTGACCAGACGGTCGAATTAGAATGACTAAGGATAATGTTTCCATCATCCAAGATGGACAGGCTTGATGACGATGGATCAGATACAGGTTTTTCCCTATTAACCACCCATACAACTGTTTGCACTGAGATTTTGTTGTACCAAATGCCCACGTACCACTTGCCAGTAGATCCTCCAGCTGCCCAACAAAGATCACCAGAAAAAGAATCAGTATAACATATCAACATGAAAACATAAAAATACGCACAATGAATGTTCACATAATGAAACTAAATGAAAAAAAATGCAAGCTTATTATATTGTGCATAACATTTATAAGCATGAGTTCAGTTTCTACTAAATCAATATAGAGGAAGTTATATGTAACACTCGCAGTAGCAGCGATTATATTTCAATTTAGATCTATTCTGTTTTGTCAACAGTTTTTTTTGTATTTAAATCATCAGCTTGGATCTATTTCTACCTTATTCTCAAGCAGGTTAACCAGACAGGCAGACAGCCAGTCAGGCAGGGAAGGATTGGCTGGAAGAAAAAAAAAGACAAGGACATTCTTTCCCTCGAATTCATCTAAGTTAGTACAGATCCTCTCAAAGAGTCATGGATTCACAGCTCTAAGGACTAACTAACCACATCTTCTGTTCTAGGTCACCATGGATTCGACCTCAAATTTTAAAAAAAGAAAATCTATTCAGCTTTTAACTCAACGATTGATATTCGAGCTTGCACTCAAATTCCTTCACTCCCAGTGAAAAATCCCCCACTTTCCACAAATTAAAATCTTTTGATCGGGAAGGGGTTCACCTCGATGGCGCGCTCCATGAGATGAGCGGTGGCTGGCGGGCCCCTCCGGAAGCGAAACCGGCAAGGACGACGACGGGATGCATCATGCATGTACGGATGGGAGTAGGACATTGGGCTTAGGAGAGATAAGAGGAACGAGGCAGCGCAACGGTCGGAGGCGAGGATTTGTTTGGCTCGCGCTCGACGCCGTGGATAGCAGTAGCACTATAGGTCTATAGCTGCCGCAGCGGCGCGCGGCGATGAAGATTGAAGAAGAAAGCGATGGGCAAAGCCGCCTGGCAAACGCCAATGCGTCGCTATACGTTTTCCTCGGTAAATATGTATGTGGTGAAAAAGTAGCGTAAAAATGAAAAAAAAAGTCATTTAAATTCAAAGAAAGTAGATTAGATGGTGTTACACCGCTATGTAAAAAATCTTTACCAAACTTAACTTAGTTTGTGAGATATAAAAATAATAATTATCAAACCAAATAAAATGTCTTAACGATATAGGAGTATCAAAATTTGTTATTTGTATATCTCATAAGTGGAATCCAGTTTTGACAAGATTTTTTACATGATTGTGTCGTATGACGCGTGAAATTTTTTTCCATGAACTTAGACAGCATTTTTATTATGGTTTATATAGGTTTTCATTTAAGTTAAGATTTTCATCATTGTCAACGAGTGATCCTCTCTAGCGGGAGGACGTGAGACCCCCCTTTATGAGTTCGGCCAGGGGATAGGGCGCGATGATCAAGAGCGTATCTTCGCGGTGGATTACGCTAGTGAGGTGGATGGCGATCGAGTGAGAGATCAGGGATTATATAGGTTCGGGTTGCTGGGAAGCATAATACCCTACTCCTGTGTGTGGAATTATGCTTGTGCTGTTACAAGAGACCGTGAGCTCCTAGAAAAACCCAACTGTGCTTCCCCTAGAATTCAAGCTACCAAGAGCCATCCTTTGCTCGGCGAACAACGTCCTCCTTTTATAGTTCAAGGGAATATCACATGCACCGCCTCTATTCGTCTCATCATTCCTAGAGGGGTCCCTTTTCCTCGGGTTCCGCTCCCGCCCATGCCTTAAACCGGAAGCATTGTGGCTGCTTGCTCCGAGGTGGGTCCCAGAGCCATCTCCTAACTGACACGGGGGACATCCCCTGTCATTCCCTCATTAATGCTTTGAAGACTTCTGCGGGCTCATGCTTCCGGGAACACACCGGCCGTGCGTGTTGAGCCCTACTGGCCGACGAGACAGGGCATACCTGCCCCTACGCCGCCTGACACAGGGCGGGGCGTGGGTGCGTTGTTACCCGTCCCATCCATCTGCCACCGGTCACAGACCTGTCCAAGTGATTGACACACGTCAATCACTTGGGCGGCGTCGCACGACCAGCCACGCCGCATTTAATATGACGGGGGTGGTTGGGACGCCGATCATGAATGCGCCAGCGGCGTCCCCTCCTCCGCCCACTCAGCCGCCACGTGGCAGCTGAGCGAGGGCCTCGGGGTAACACAGCCCCTCGGGCCCGAGGGGTGCGATGAGGCACCCCAAGTCCCCTAGGTAGGAATAGGGCGCCTCTCGGCTACCTATACGTGGCTAGGGGGATGGACTTCTTCACTCTTTCCCCCTAGCATGGGTACCTCGGGCCCATATCACCGACAACCATATATTTACCGTTCTACTTGTACTAAAGAGAAAAGAAAATGTATTATGCGTCATGTTGATTTCTAGCCCAGGATATCAGACATTGGTCTCTTACCTTTCTGCAAAATCGTGTTGCTTTACAAGATTAGGGTGGTGTTTAAATCTCCTAAAGATAAAGATGAAGATTAAGTGTTTCACGCAAAACAATATGGTAATAGCATATGATTAATTGAGTTTTAATCATTACAAACTTGAAAAATAGATTAATCTGATATTTTACAACAACTTTCATATAGAAAGTTTGCGCACGAAACACACCGTTTAGCAGTTTAAAAAGTGTGGCATGAGTATCCAAAATTTTATAACTCTTTGGAGAAACTAACACAACCTTCCTTGAAACTTATGCAGTGCAAAGCTGTAGTGCTGTTTTTTTCTCTTCACTGCAAGGTTCATGCATATATTATTCGGAAACTCCAATGGGCGGTCGATCGCCCTGCCCATCGGGTAGCGATCGCCCCACGCCCCCCTCCCCCCTCTCTCCCTCCACCTGGTTTTCATTTTTGGCACCACATTATTTTCCTTTTTTAGTAAATTTATGCATCTAAAGTTTATACATCTCAAGTTTACACATCTAAAGTTTAGAGACCCAGAGTTTATAAGTCAAAAGTTTTTATATCCGATTCAAATTTGAATTTGAATTCAAATATTTTTTTTATATATAGTATTTCTATACATCTAAAGTTTATAGACCTAAAGTTTATAAGTCAAAAGTTTATATACCCATTTCAAATTTGTATTTGAATTATATCTGATTCAAATTTGAATTTGAATTCAAATATTTTCTATATATAGTATTTCTATACATCTAAAGTTTATACACCTAAAATTTATAGATCCAAAGTTTACATGCCCGATTCAAATTTGAATTTGAATTCAATTTGAATTTGAATTCAAATTTTATAGACCTAAAGTTTATAAACTTTTTTATATATATAGTATTTCTATACATCTAAAGTTTATACACCTAAAGTTTATAAGTCAAAAGTTTATATACCTGTTTCAAATTTGAATTTGAATTATATCTGATTCAATTTTGAATTTGAATTCAAATATTTTCTATATACAGTATTTCTATACACTTAAAGTTTATAGATCCAAAGTTTATAAGTCAAAAGTTTACATACCCGATTCAAATTTGAATTTGAATTTGAATTCAAATTTTTTATATATAGTATTTCTATACATAAATTTTTCTAACTTTTGTTTTTTAAAAAAAAAAATTGTGGTGTACTGTAGTAGGAAGAGAAGGGAAGGAGGAAGGGGAGAAGCGAGAGGAGGTATTCGGATTGCCTATAGGGGGAGGGGGGCGAATCCGATCGCTGGGCGATCGTCCTGGCGATCGATTGTCCATTAGCCCCCCCCCATATTATTTGTTTTAACAATTTAGCTGATAGATAAGAAACCAGTGGATGTCCTCTCAAAAGGTGAAAATACTTTACTGTTTAGGCATACTTGTCAGGTTGCAGTTGCATCTAAAAAAAGTTCAACTGGATGCATCTATATACACATGTATCTAGGTTCATTTCTAAAATTGATAGGACTAAAACTTTTTAACTTTTAAGTCCCTATCACATCGGATGTTTGGACACTAATTATAAATATTAAACGTAGACTATTAATAAAATCCATTCTATAACCCTAGACTAATCCGCGAGATGAATCTATTGAGCCTAATTAATCCATGATTAGCCTATGTGATGCTACAGTAAACATGCTCTAATTATAGATTAATTAGGCTTAAAAAATTTGTCACGCGAATTAGCTCTTATTTATGTAATTAGTTTTATAATTAGTCTATATTTAATACCTCAAATTCATTTGATATGACAGGAACTAAAGTTTAGTCTCTGGATCCAAACACCACCTTAAACTTTTTCTGGGGCGCGGAAGTAGTATCATGCAGAACTAATTTCACTGAATCAAACAACCTAGGAACGATGGTCTGAACGATTAACAGAAAACTTTCCTTTCCTTAATTAAGGGTGTGTTTAGTTCACGTCAAAATTGAAAGTTTGATTGAAATTGGAACGATGTGACAGAAAAGTTGAAAGTTTATGTGTGTAGGAAAGTTTTAATGTGATGGTAAAATTGAAAGTTTGAAGAAATATTTTGGAAATAAACACGGCCTAAAGCAAGGCATGAACTTTGCTACTCCTATTTCATTTCAGAAGGAAAAGAATACACCAACCCAAAACGAAATACCATGAACAAAAACAAACATAGATAGATAGATAGATATGATGCATATGTACTATGCCGACCTTGTCATAGAACACAACCGAAAAAAAAATCAACGTGAACACGGGTAAAAGCTAGAAAGACGAAATACATATTATGCATGGATCGAAGCTGACGATGATCCATGTTAAATTACCTTTGGGCTGGAAGAATCCGAGCGCGAACTTGCCGCGCTCCGAGACTAACTTCTGGTCGCCGGTGAGCGGCCGGCTCACTGTGAGCGTGTCAGTGGCATGCAAGGCACGGCCATGGAGACACAGAAATAGCGCCACCACGAGCAACCGCAGCTGGAACTGGACACTCGAAGAAGAAGGCCAACAGCTACAGGTTTCCATGACAAAAACCGAGATTGGTGGTATCAAGGACCGACCATGTATACTATGCTTTTCCTGAGGGCTGAAGCAGCGATCATCATCATATATATGCCAGCTTGTCTACTCCGCTAGTACCCTCTTGGAGTCTCGAGTCTTATTAGTATATACTGTCATCCTGACTGATCGCTGTAGCGTATTGATCGCGATACAGTGTAAGGAATTTGAGCTGACTTATGACTTAATTTTTTTTAAGGACTGCTGATATCTGACTTGGTGCAATCGAGATACTATCTGCTGCCGCGCCCGTCGGTGCATGGCGTTGGGTGAGTGCCTTCGTCGTCGCCGTCTCTATCTTGTCTAAATTTTTCGTGGCTGCTTTCTCTGACGCTGTATAAGCTCCTAAGCAAGCGTTTTAAGTGCAATTATGCAGGAGGCTACCAAGTACCAACTGTAAAAAAGGGAATCACGCAGGAGGCGACAATGTCAAACGCACATGGACAGGACTCGCTGAATTCCCACGCGATGATGGAGAGCTAGACTCGGATTGAGAGACTTGAGACTCTGTCTAGATGGGACTATAACTTTTAAGTCACTATCACATCGAATATTTATACACTAATTATAAATATTAAACGTAGACTATTAATAAAACACATATATAATATTGGACTAATTCGCGAGACGAATTTATTAAGCCTAACTAATCCATAATTAGCCTATGTGATGCTATAGTAAACATTCTCTAATTATAGATTAATTAGGCTTAAAAAATTTGTCTCGCCGAATTAGCTTTTATTTATATAATTAGTTTTATAAGTAGTTTATATTTAATACTCTAAATTAGTATTTAAATATAAGTATTAAAGTTAAGTTACTGGAACAAGCACCACCTCAGAGGCCGTCCGGCAAACGCAGTATTCGATGGTGACTTAACCATCACTGTCAATCTGTCATTTTACTTGGACTTGACTAGGATTAGGACGCATTCTAAACAGTACTACCTCCGTCACAAAATAAGTGCAGCCATGAA